TTCAGTGTCTGTCAGCTCCTGTAGTTAGCTGGGTACTCACCGGTACATTTAGCACAATTTGCGGTGTGGCTCTGGTTTATAAACATAAACTACTTACATGTTTCACGCATCGTGGTTTATGGGTAAAATATGTTTATGTTTGTCCATATTGCTGGGCATCGTACGCATTGAAGAATAGTTCTCTTTTTTCGTGATTTCTCGATTTGAATGCAAGAATAGTAGAAAAATGTAATTTTTAATATGTATTCGTTGAACTTTTTTGTGGTTATGGCCACGAAGATGACATTAATCACACTGGTAGCTTCATGACCCAATTTTTTCAATTCCATTTTTGATAATGTCGGTTCATGTTGCGTGATGCAAGTATTTTTCAACTATTCTTGGCCATCTATCCTGAGAGAGTTAGTATGTGTGAAAGTCTGAGACTTTATTTCGCAGACTTGTCTTAAATCTTCTATAAACATTTGGGATTTGCAGATATACAGTAACACCTTTTATTGTTGGTTCAGTTTTAAATGTATTTGGTCCGGCTTCATTTTCAAGGAAACAAATTTATGCCACATAATGCTTTACGCCGTTAATGAAAATATGTGAGATTTTGTCATTTTAAAGGGTTCTTATAATTTCTAACGAATTTGAGATTTCGGTTGGAAACTATTTGAATTGATTTAGAATCCGCTGGTCGTTTTTATTGTGGTGAGGGGGTTGGGTCTGTCATTGTTCTTTAACGACCAACCACCAACTCCCAAGCCGTCAATATTGTTGATTTATGACAGTCCATATTACTTACCTCGTGTTGAGATGATTCCACCCTTTTGGGTGGAAAAGTACTCAGTAGTTTTCAGCTCTTTTGACTTGAGGAAACACTTTTTCAACAAAAATAAAATGTTATTAACAGTTAAATTAACCCTTTTTTGAATCACAAAAATAAACTGACCTATGAGGGTAAATAATATCAACAGCTCGTCAATCCATCTACAAGCAGTAATCATGTTTAATTATATCATTTTCTGCATTGCTTCATTCTTATTTTCTTCCTTCATTTTTCTCAGCATGAAGGTGCCTTGAACTAAGTTAATCTGGAATCATAATCCAAAGCCAGCATTTTCTATTTAGTTTAAATTCTTTCTCTTAAAATGAAGGTCGGAAACCTGGTCAGTCATGACCATCTTGGCATATCTCGAGGACTATATTCTTTTGGCATGGCTTCAAAAAACTTATGTGGGTCCCGCTCTTCATTCATTTGGGACAGATGACAGGACCATTTCAGTTGCTTCTTTTCGACATTATTTCTGAAGGTGGATACTCCAAAGTATATCTATATATATATATACACAGGCGGATCTACGGGGGGGGGCTTTTGGGCTGAAGCCCCCCCAAAATGGTAAAATATAATCAAGTTTTACAAAAAAAAATATTAAAAACTATCTCTTAAAGTATTCTTGTTCATTTAATTACATTTAATAGGACTTCAAGAACCACTTAAACACCAGTTCATGTAATTAATTTCTTCCTTTTTTTCAAATTAATTATCGTTATATGTATATGAAAAAAAAATCTTTCGGGCTGAAGCCCCCCCCCCCAAAATTATATCCAGGATCCGCTAGTGTATATATATCTATTCTCTCATTCCTGTCTTGATCTCTCCTTGTTGGGTTTGTTCTCTCTATGAGGTTTCACTTCTACAATAAGTAGTAGTTTGGTAGACAACCCTAAATATATATGCTTTAAAACTGTTTTCAATTTCCGTTTTCTCTACCACGTTTTTGTCATTCTGGTTAATAGCTTTTTTTTTTTTGTATCTAACTAAGCTCTTGGGAAATTTTTCTTTTGACATGGATATATTTTACCAAATAGGAGAATGGGGTAGGGAGGAGACTTCAGCCATAAAGCCCCTCCACTCCCCATAGATCCACCTGTAGGCTTCTAATACTAAAGAGAACAACAAACTAAGGATCTGCCATAGTCGCAGACTTCAGGATAGAGAAAGGAGGAGCGAGAGGGACGATCGCCCCTCCAATAAAAATAAAGGCGGTGAGAATATCATTTCGCCCCCCTCCCTATATATTTCAAAGAACAAATAAAAATTAATGTACATGAATGAATAAAATAGGTAATCTAAAATCAATTAAGAAAATAGGAAAAGTCTATTAGACGGCTAAGCTAAGAGCTAAAAGTAGGTGCGCAAGTATTTTACTATAACCTTTGTTACTATTATTGAAATTTTAGTTTATATTCATAGGTGATTATATATTCCAGAATTTTATGATTTATTCATGTACACTCTTTCATTTTTCCCGCAGTAAAATTGAAGCATCGGAGAATTAAGGGTGCATCTCACTGCCTCAGCCCTTCAAATCAAAATCAAAATATGTAATATATTTAATTGCTTTGTTAGCGTATTTTCGAATACAGCTGTATGCAAAACAAACTAACTAATATATAAATTTATTTTTGAATATATAGTATTTTATTGTACGTTTTAAAATAATTATGTTGATTATTTTAATTATCTCTCATAATTTTTATAATCATATAAATTCACGAGACTTTTTGGATGGAGAGGGAGGAAAGAGGGTAATCGTTTCTCCCCAAATAGATCATCAGAAAATTCTTCACAAATTCTTGGGCGAAACTACGAACACAACGGCGATGAAATTGACTCCTGAAACCACAGCAATATTGACCAGATCTCACAGAAGCTGTAGCATTATTTTGTCATTTTGAAAAGAGCGAATTATCGTCCATAGCTTGAGTGATATTGAAAAAATTTTTATATATCGATAATGAAAAAAATATTGATATTTTCGTCAGATATATTTTAGAACGCCCCCATTCTAAAACGGTGCTTACATCATAGGAATCATTACCTAGAAATTTGACTATTTAAAACGATATTTTTTAGAGAAAAAAAAATACTGTGAAAACGTTGGATTCAACAACCAAAGAAGGAAACAAACTTTTTGAAAGTAAACTATTGTGTTCTTTTGCTATGATATTTATAGTTAACGAGACAGAACAGATTTTTTTGCATGAAGCAGGACACTAGTATGAGTGTGTATAAAATTTAATACAGCTCAATTTCTTCAATCTGAAAAAAAAGACACCAGTCTAAATTTTTTATCGCATTGGAGCCGAAACAGCGTTTTTATTTTTTGGAAGAGAGAAGAGAGAGAATTGAAATGGGAGACAAAAAAAATACCTGTACCACTACAATCCTAGTCCGTGATACAGACCCCTTTTTATCAATTTATTAACATCCGGCTGAAAATTCGTAAATAGTTTCATCTCATCGTAACCTACAAATATTTTATTTACGAAAATTCTCGGAATTTGGGCGTTTTCAATCTAGAGATCGGCAAACTTTGTATATTCAATTGGGTACTAAAAACTCGTAAATAACCATTTGCTTTACACTTTAGTCGTAGAATAACTTGAGCACAAAGTCGAGAAAAAAGGTGGCCGAAAAAGTATTGAGCCGTTTGGCGTGACCTACACCTCCAAATTTTCAAAATAACGAGGTTATATAGTCCAAAAGGCTCAATATTTTTTAAGGCCACCATTTTTCTCCACTTTGTGCTCAAGATATCTTACGATTAAAGTGGAAAGCAAATGGGTATTTACAAGTTTTTAGTACCTAATTAAATAGACAAAGTTTGCGGACCTCCAGATTGAAAACGCCCCAATTCCGAGAATTTTCGTAAATAAAATCTTTATAGGTTACGAGGAGATGAAGTTATTTACGAAGTTTCAGCCTGATGTTAATAATTCGATAAAAAGGGGTCTGTACCACAGACTATTCATGAAGGGTCTGGGCACAGGCAGATTTAAGGGCGGAGGGAGGCTTTCGGGCAGAAGATTCCCCAAAATGGTAAAATGTAACCATGTTTAATGTTAAAAAATTATCTCTTAAAGTATTATTTAGTATTATTATTACATGAATCACTTAAACACTATTTGATATAGGTTGTTAGTTTCTTTCTTTTTTCCCCAAAGTAATTATCATTATATATATGAAAAAAAAAAACCCTTTCGAGCTGAAGCTCACCGAAATTAAATCCTGGATCCTCTGGTGGTCTCGGGTTCAGTACTTTGAAAGAAAGTTCCGCCGGTGTTTCCACCTTAATTATTTAATTAAGGTTTCCACGTTATAGAAGCCGGGTGTGTCCCAGGAGGGTCCCATGACCTCAGGGTCGATCCTCGGCCGATGGAACAGATTAAATAATTTATTTTCCATCTGCCGGGATTCAAACTTGGGACCTTGAGGGTGGTTCAAACCGGGACAACTGAGCTACCCCACTCCCTAGAATGGGAGAAAAAATAATTAAAACATAATATGATAAACTGAGTAAATAAACTCAAAAAATTTGGAATATTAATTCTCGAAAATCATTAAGCCTGCTTGTATCTATGCATTTTAAATTACAATAAAATTCTTACCTTAAAATCATTTAAATATAAATATGTAGTGCAGGTAGTGAAAGGGCTTGGTACAATTTTTGGTGGGAATTAAAATTTAAATGGTCTCTGAATTATAATACAGAATGGATCATGTATTTCTTGTTCATTACCATAGAAGTGCCTGCTACAATTATGTTCATTTTTTAAAAAATAATAAAGTAAAACATTGCATCCAATAGATAAACATGGCAAACTGCTAACGCTAATCATGAAAAAAGGACAAATTAAAAAAGATATTTTTTAAAATGAAATATTTTAAAACTTGTTTCAATCTTAATATATGTTACGTTGTTAACATTATTTATTGATAATGTAAGCTTTTGAGGTAATGGTTTTGTTGAATGAACGAGTGTGGAGAAATTCACTCTTGCTGAAATCGCTCCAGTAATTATAAAATGTCGTAACCTAACCTGAATATTTGACATAAGCTAGCATTCGTAGATAGTTTTGTTAGCTAATATATTCAGAGATGAATTTAGTAACATTTATTGGTTGATTTCCATAATACGCTAGCTGACCAAGGTTGCATCCCAATCTTCCTTGTCATCCTTAACAGTTTAGTTAGAGAAGGGGTGATAAGGAAAGTGGAGTGGAAGTTCGAACACGTTAGTGGGTTTACCCATGCCCTGATTGTATTCCTTGTTCGTTATGATCTAAATCTGGCCTTTCACTTATTACTATGAATGAATTTTAGTTGACCCAAGTTTGAAAATATTTATCATACTATGGCTGTTCAAGTGGTGATGGATAAAAAGGTATATCGTGTCGGGTCAAGAGAAAGTGAGGTAAATATTCTAAAAATATATAGATTTATACAGAACTATATCATGTAGTTAATTTCTTAATATATGTGACCTTCATATTTATGATTTTATTTTAGTTAGCCTTGATTCAAACGAATTTGGTCATTGAATACCTTCAGGAAAAGTATCCTAAATGCAAATTTGATATAGGTATAAAATATTCAAAGGTTATGTGTAAATATGTAAGTTGTACTTATATTGATCATTTTATTTTTTTTACTTTTTAGTAACTATGTCTACTCTTGGTGACCAGATTTTAGATAAACCACTACCAAAAATCGGTGAAAAAAGTCTCTTTACCAAAGAGCTTGAGACTGCATTAGAAAATGGATCAGTAGATTTTGTAGTTCATTCTTTAAAAGATATGCCAACATCCCTTCCTAATGGTCTTGCCATTGGAGCTATTCTTGAGTAAGATATGGCTGTATTTTATTTTAAGTATAAAATACTAATATGATTTCTAATATTTTTACTTCTTGATGGTTTGCATAGAAAAGTTTGAGAAGTACGATTAGTGAATGGACTCACGTTATTGAGATGATTTCAATGTATATATATGTATAATACATACCTGTTTAATTTAATATCATATTGTTCTGATTATCAGGCGTGAAGATCCCAGAGATGCTATTTTGCTTAATACGAAACTAAGAGGATCTACTTTATCATCATTGCCTGAAAATAGTGTAATAGGTGCGTAGTATTTTTCCTTAATATAATGTTATAAGCTGACATATCTTTATCATGGTATATTTTATTGTAAGGATAATGTTTATAATTCTGATAAGTAATTGTAGATGTTATTATCTATAATTCTATGGTTTATTAGGGAAAAATGTACAGTAGATGAAATAATATTTAATTTCTCTTTTTTATGCATGTTTTATTTTATATATATTTTTTTTTTACCTTGAGGCTTTAAATAGGTAAATCAGCCCAGCAGTGACCATTATATAGGTTAATGTTTACAGTATATGATTCAAGTAATGTTTAGAGTAACCCTCATTCTATAGTTTGAATGTGATTAGTTGGCATCCCAAGGGTGAATTCATGCAGCACTTAATTAAAACTTACATTTTGTTTTTTCATACTTACTTACTTACTTTCTGGTACAGGTCTTTGTGACACTTGGCTTTCCGGACTATATCCCTCCATCCGTTGTGGTTCTTGGTAGCTCTCCTCCAATTCACGATCCCTAACTTTACAAAACCTCTTGCCACCTCATCCTTCCAGCGGCTCCTCAGTCTACCTTTTTTTCAATGATTGTCATGTTGTAGCATCTTCTGGACTCTCTCTTAATTTATTCTGGTGACATCACCTGCCCAATGCAGCCTACCTGATTTTATATAATTAACTATATCTTGGTTTTTACTGCAATATCTGTATTGCTCTTGATCCTCCACTTTTCATCTATCTGTACAGCTCCATATATTCTTATAATTCGTCTCTCAAAAAATCTCAGTTTTTGACAGACTGTCGATGGTAGGCACCAGGTTTCCAATCCATAGGTGACAACTTACTTGATCAGAGCATTATACAGCTTTAGTTTGGTTTTTCTAGAAAGAATCTTTGATTTGAGGAGTTTCTAGTTCACATAATATGCCCTATTTCTGGACATTATTCTATTTTGTATTTCATGGCTGATCTTGTTTTCTATATTTATCGAGGAGCCTGGGTAAGTGAAGTTGGTCACGTTTTTAAACTTATAATTGAGAAGGAGACTCTGTTGTTTATTTGGTTATTTGTAGCTTTTAATAGCACATACTTTCTTGATTTAGGATGAACCCAACCCTGCTACTCCTTTTTGTTTTTTTTCCATAAACTTCCCAAATCACTTACAAAATATTCATGAATTTAGATATACATTGGAACATATCATAATATTCTAATTTAATATTTAGTAAGGAGATGGTCCGGGGTGGCCGTCATAAAAAGATTGAAATAGTGAAAAAACTATTTTTATTTCAAGCCAACGTTTAGACGCAACTTTTTCAGGTTTTCTTCCATGATGTGTATGCAGCAAGGAGTTTCAGTTGGCAGTCAACTGAAACCTCTTGCAGCATACACATCTCTGAAGAAGACCTGCAAAGTTGGGTCAACCGTTGGCTTGAAATAAAAATAGTTTTTCTCTATTTCAGTAATCTATATGTGTATTAATTCTTGGGCTGCTGAGAAATTACAGTCAAATTATAGCAACTCTGATATACTACTCGTCTGGATTAATTATATTTTTTAGGAGTTCTATGTATACCTTAAGTTGTTAAATACTTGTGAAAATCATGTAGATAAAATTGCTTTTAATAAAAAATATTTTATCAAATATCGATTTGAACGTTTTGTTCTAAGAAGAATATTTGGCCCAATACTCAATAACAACCAGAAATGGCAAATGTGAACGAACCTTGAGCTGCAGGAGCTGTATCGAGATGCTGATGTGAGAATAATAAGAATTGGCAGATTAAGATGGGCTGGACACATTCGGCAGATGCCTGGAGATCATATATTGAGAAAATTATTAGAGGAGCAAATTTATACAACAAAGTGGGTAGGTAGACCAAAATTAGATGGGCTAATGGAGCAGAAGGAGATGTCTAAGATATCCCTGGAGTCAACAATTGGAAGGCGGCTACACTTCTCAGAGATGACGCAGTTATTTTGAGTCTGAATAAATAATCAATTATGTATAACATTTGTATAACATAATATTTTTATCAAAACTTTGTTTAGGTGTAATATATGTATTTATTGATGATAGTAATTCTTAATTTATAAATAAGACAGAAGTCAAATGCATATTTATATAAAATCCGAGACAGTAAAGTCCTGCTAGTTTGTAAAAATATTCTACTGTACCAATAAAATTTTAGTTATATAGTATTTAAATACACTTTGATTCTTTGATCCTCCTCTGTGATTCATATTTATTTATTATTTTTAGTTCACTAAAACTTATATTAGTATTTTTTCATGAATGGTATCTTTGTTTAAAGACTTCTATGGACTTTTGCTATTACCTTAAAGAATTATGTATGTTTCATTCTAATTTTAATAGAATTTGTTTTGTAAAAATATGGTTTTTAAGTATTTCAGGTCATTTTTTTTTAACATGATTGATTTATTTATGCATTTGAACATCTGTGATAGTTAATATTCTGTTTTGTGTAACATGTTCATGTAAATATAAAGAAGGAAGAACTATATTAACATAAATAAAAGTCTGATAATTATATTCACTAAAAATAGTTTAGTTCAAAATAACAACTACTTAATTCTTCATTTTTCAAAATGAATGTTTAATAGGAAATTTAAATTGATTATTCGTGAAAAATTTTATTTTATCTTTACAGGAATAGTCTACTAATTAGCAACTTGTTGAAGAAAGCAGTTAAAAGTAATTGCTAACCTTGAGCTCTACCATTTGAATGATGAACATTTAATCTTTGAAAACATTCTACCTGCTGATCCAATTAACAATTTTTGAGAGCAATTACAATATTTTTTTCATTTTCCATAAAAAATTATAGTATTAGTAACACACCCACAGTTATATACATATTTATAAATTTTAATTTTCATGTCGGTGCAATCAGTTCCTATAAATAAATATTAACACCAGAGCTTGCTTTTATGAAAATTCACTGATGCCATTCGTGTCGTTAATTTTTTATGTTTCCGACTTATGGACTATAATACTATGTAATGAAGAATGGGCGATAAACATTTAAAATATGCTTTTTAATTTCTTTAAAAATAAAAAAATCTTTAAAAGCTACAATTGGTTGAAAGAATTACCTGTCCAATCAGAATTTTTTTCAGTATGATTAAAACGCTAAAAATTAAGAATAAAGTGAGAGAGAGATAAAATTATATTTTATTACGGAAAAAATTAAGATTTCTAATTTTTTGTTTGACGAATCTGATTCATTTGCAACACTTGCTGCAAAGAATTATCAAACTGTATCAGAAAAAAATTTCTTGATTTGTCATTAAAAAAAAATAATGCATGATCGTTATTGATGGAATATTATTATTTTGGAAAAACTGACCTAAAGCATTTAACAAAACAAATTATGATTATGGACTAGAAAGCTAACTAAAATAAAATAATAATCTGCATTTTAACTTGTAGATTAGAATTAAAAACAAATAGAAAAAACTTGAGCATTGAATTAAAACTTGAGGAGATTATATATTTCTTGGTCACACTTACAGGGGCATGTTTGACCAATTTTCCTAAGTCCAGGCTGCAGGATTCTTCTTTCAAAAGTCTATTAACTTTGTTCATCCGAATGTGATATTGTCCATAACAGTCATATGTATGTTGGCGTTCCTTCTTTTTAATAAAGAAATTATATTTTCTTCTCTGAATTTTTGTGGCATTGTGGACTAATAAAATTAAATATGTTTTAATGAATTTATTCATATTTTAATTACACATATATTTTTTAATTTATAAAAAATCTTAATAAAAGGATTTCTGAGGAAATTTTTATTTAATTAGATTAATCAAATTTTCGCTTGTACGTGCATGTGAATAGGATTTTTTTTTCTTTTTTTACTTAGGTAATTTTTAACATACCCAGATAAATGAATAAATTATCTTTTTGTTGTGGGTTTTAGGAACCAGTTCCCTTAGAAGAACTGCGCAATTGAGACGAAAATATCCTCACTTAGTTATCAAAGATATTCGAGGAAATTTACAAACTAGGCTTAGGAAACTTGAACAAGGCCACTACGATGGGATTGTTCTAGCTGCAGCTGGAGTTAATAGGATGGGCTGGGAGCATCATATATCAAAGGTATCCATAATTAATGTTATTAACAGTTTATTATATAAAAAGATTTTTCATATAATAGAAGCTATGAAGTTTGCTTTAATTACAAAAATACAAAGTTAATTCTACTGTTTAGGGTAGATTTATTGAAGTAACAATTTAAATCTAGTTTTTCTGAAATAAACTGGTATTTCAATTATGATTTTAAAAAATCCAAGGTTTGAAATAGCTTTGAAAGTGGGACAAGGTCAATCAAATCTATAGTTTTGTTATTCAGCCATTTCATAGTTATATCATTTTAAAAAAAATTGGTGAACTGTGAAAAGAAAATTCTGGTGCACGCATCACAACTTTTACTTAACACTCTAATTTGAGTGGAAATTATTTCCTGGCAATTTTGGGATCTGACAAAATTTTCGAAGTGCATTTTTAAAGGAGCTGAGCTTAAAACTTATAGCTATCAATTCATTAAGACCATTAAAATAACAAAAATCCTGTTTATTATATTGACGGTTGGCGATAAAACCTCTTAATTTTAAGAGTGATAAAACTTAATTATACATTGATACACCAAGTTTATTCAAAATTGTTAAAGATGTTTTTGAATTGTAAAAAGAAAATTGTGATATTGTGTAAAATCGATGATGTCAAGTGAAACTGCGGTTTAGTGGACTCACACAAGCAGACCATTTTGTGGGACTTGGTTATTTGGACTCAAGGGTTCTCAAAACATGTATTTCTGTTTAAAACCAGGTTAAAAAATGTTCACGAATGCAGTACATTCACATGCTATATATTACATATATAGGCAAGTGAAAATAAAAATATCTCTTGATCATAATGTTCTTTTATTTATATTTTTCTATAATACTAAAAAACCTAAAATAGTGGTTATTTTTATTAAAAATATTTGAATAATTTTTTTTAATTACATAAAACATTAATCTGAAATTAATATTATACAAAGTTGGAAGATTATATAATATTTATATGAAGTACTTTGTGAATGTTAATGTTCGATTACTATTTTTGCATTTATTGATGTTTAATTATCTATAGTCAGTGTTTAGAGGAAATATCTTTCTCCATAATTTGGAAATATCTAAATTACAGAATATTAATTACTTTTTGATTCTTAAAATAATTGTTTTAAATAAACATACATTTATCTACAAGCACAAACACATGTACTCATACCCTAACCCACAGACATGCACATACAATTTTAGCTTATATTTTTCATACTCTATATGTCTAAAACTTCGTGAATATCTTATCTTAACCTAACACTTTTTTATTTATGAAAATCTTAGGAAATGGGCCATTTTCAATCTGGAGATCGATAAACTTTATTTATTTAGTGTGGTACTAAAAACTCGCTAACACTCATTTGTTTGAATCGTAAGATAATTTGATTGGTAAATCGAGAAAAATGGCAACCTAAAAAAATAATGACCCAATTGATTTTACCTTGAAAGAAAAGTAATATTTAATAGAAAACATAAATATGAAATATGGAATGGGAAACTAAATTTTCGAAAATAAAACCTGGAGAATTCCGATCTTGGAACAATTTTTACAGATGCACTCAGCTGCCTAGAGTTTATATAACGGCTCTTGATGTTAACAATGAAGAATAAAGTCTGAAGTGGATAAGAAAGTAGTTGAATTCAAACAATAAGGTTGCAATATTTGGGGAATAAAATAACATCAACACAATGGATTGGTCCCTTGGCTTTTTGTTAATTTAAAATAATGCTAATTTAAATATTTATTATACCTACGTACTATGTCTGCAAGATAAAATCAGTTTACAATTTTTCACTCCACTGTATATAACATTTATTTTACTGTTAAATTATTAGTCAACTTTATATTATTCAATATATAGTTCTTTTAAAGTTTAATATTTTGCAGATTTTAGACAATGATGAAATGATGTATGCTGTAGGACAAGGTGCTCTTGCCGTTGAATGTAGATCAAAGGATTGTAAATATTTTTCTTCTTTGAACCATGAAGAGACAGTTTTGAGGACAATAGCTGAAAGAAGTCTGCTTTGTGCTCTAGGGGGTGGTTGCTCTGCCCCAGTTGCTGTTTGTTCCGAATATAAAGATGAAACATTAAAACTAACGGCTGCTGTTTGGAGCTTAGATGGTCAAATTACTGTTCACATGGATGCAGAATGTGATATAAATGAAAAAGTGGATGAAAGGTATTTGTATTTATATGTTGATTACTAAATTTTCCTTTTCTGTACCAATTTCCCCTTTTTAAAAAATTTTTTGGGAGAGATTTATCTTTACTCAAGTATATTTCGTAAAGTATGAATTGCTTTTTGCGGTTCGCCTTCGGGGTTCCAAGGACCTATGTCTCCTGGTTTTACTGAAAGTTGAAGTGGCTTTATTCTTCCTACTGTTGTATTTCCTTGCATCCTTCCTCTTTCAAGTCATCCACACCCAATATCCTTCAATTCAAATCCTCTGTTCACTCCCGCAAGATCCATTTCTATTTTTCGAATTTGTATACAAGGTCGCACCGGCTGCTTTCGACAGATCTTTCATTACTCTATCCTCATCTCTATGCAATGCTACATCTTCCTACATCCGTCGCTCCCCACCCATTCAATTCCAATAAAATTGTAAATAGATGTTGCTGTAACTTTGTATATAAATTATTAGTTTGTTGTAATTATTTTGATCTCACTTATCTTGCACTTTTTTTCTTAATATATTAAAGTTATAAGGTAACTTATATTCTTTGTTTATTTATTATGTCTATATACTTTCTGATTATTCTCTGATGCTCAAAAGCCTATATCATAAACATCATCATCATAAATATGTTTACAAACAGATTCTTATCTGGTCTTGCAGCACCACTAACAGGATAATCTCATCTCCTACTTTTCACATAGCTTTTCTGTTCAGTCATTCCAGATCAATCTCCATTCATGACACCACTCCTTTCTTGTGGAGTCCCTCAAGGTTTGTCTGTGTTCCCTACTCTGTTTGGGAGTAGGGGGCGAGGGCTGTAGATTATTTCCAGAGCTGTAAAATCTTTCATTATCTGGTCCTCCTCCCTATAGAATTCTATTACTTTCTCATGCATTATTCCAATATCTTTCCTACCTTCTATTCAATCACTTCCTATCCATCCAATTTCCCAGGAATTTTAGGAAATTTATAATAGATGTTCTGATTTTTAGACAAAATTTTTAAGTAGATAAACAAAAATGCTTTCATTTTTTTGTTTCGCCCATTTAATTCAGAATGTTATTTTTAAATTGCTAAATGTTGAACTTTTCTTTGTTCATCTGTCCAAAAAGATTCATAACTATAATCTTTGAAGATTGTGGCTACAGTGTGGTATTTCTTGTATGCTGACACATTCCACTTAGATTTTAATTATTTTTATCTTGGCAATGAATTCAATTTCACAGTTAAATTGAAATTAAAATTGTCAAAATCTATAATTTCCTTATGTGTCCCATAATATGAATCGGCAAATTTGACAGGGAATAAGTTTTCTTGTCTCCTATTATTTAGTTAATTTTTTTTTTTACATTAGAGCCATTAGGCCCTGATAATATGGAACTATAGAGCAGTGTTACCGCGCGCTCTGTGACAAAACCTCGTACATCCTCGTACGCTTGCTCATTCATAACTTCCACTGTTATAATGCCAGTGTTATTGTTTTTTTTTTTAATAGTAAAATTAGATCAGAATTTTTTATTTTTACCTCCATTCATATATTTTAAAGCCTTTTTACATTACTTTTTTTTAAAAGTTAATGGGTCAAGAAGTAAAATTAGCTTAATAAAATATATAAAAAAGTTAATATATTTTTATAAACTACTAAAAACGTTATATAAAAATTAAAATAGCTAAATAAACTTCTTAAAGTACTCTTCATAAGTATTCATCCGTAGATCCAAGATTTAATTTGGGGAAAGGACTAATTTTTTTTCTTTTTTCTAAAAACAAAACAACTACTTTTATGAAAGGACTTTAGTGGTTTTGGAAGGCCAATAAAAATTAATTATTGGGGCATTAATGCTTTTAGAGATATCCATTATAATACAAAAAAATAATAGATTGTGATTGTTTCAGTATTTAGCTTACAATTAGATCTTGCACAAAATGAATGTGGACCTCTGAAAAAATACTTTTTTTATTATTATTTACGATGGGTTCATTATGAATACTAGTTAATTTTTCAATTGATTACTTTACTCGATTAAAAATAGAAACTAATTTTTTTTAAATTACGGTAATCATTTAAAAAAAAAATAATTTATCTCGAATATATTTACAATTGCAGTTTTATGAAAGAAACCATAATTACAAAGGAAATAATGGATATACTTTCTCGTATTTTATTTTATGATAGATAAAAATGACGGTAAAAATTTCTGTTTAATTTTCTTTTACAACACATTTAAAAAAAATATGTATTTATAAAATAAGTTTTATGAAGGAAATAATGGATATGGTTTCTTATATTTTATTTTATACTAAATAAAATCTAAATTTTTTTTTTAAATTTTTTTATTCTTAGGAAATTAAAAAAACAACATATATATACAATCATGGTTTTATGAAGGAAATAATAATCATATTCTAATTAAAGAAGATATAATTGTAATTTATTTGTCTATAAAGCAACAGAAGTTCAGTATTTCATATCAACACAAATAATAATACAGTCAAAGTAACCGTAAAACAATTCTAAACTTCATTCATAAAAATATAACCTTGCATTGCAAACTTCAGCAAAACTTATGTACGAGGTACGAGGCTGATCTATCCTCGTATCTCGTACATTACGTCATAACCTCGTAAAAATACGAGGATCCTCGTACAAACGGCAACACTGCTATAGAGTTTTATGAAAAATAAGGGGATCAGCTGTTAATAAAAAAAATGATAATTCTTCTGCCCCATAGATGAGATCTATTTACCTTCAGTCTATGAAAAAGTCTACCAAATATTTTCTGAACGAATTGCAGGAGGTTCCATTCAAGCTGAACATAATCTGATTCACTTCTATCTTCTTCTAGTTTTTCATGTTCTCCAGTTAATTTTTAGTGATATTGTAATTGTCTCTTCATTTGCAATTCTATTTCTCTCAGTAATTCCTTTCTAATTTCTAATGAAACTAATCATGGATTGAATTAATGTATTTTCATCTTATTTTCCTGATTAGTATTTTATTTCTCTCACCTTCATGGTTTCAATTCAATCATAATCAGGTATCACTATTTATACTGATTTCTAGAAGAAATGGTTAGCCATTATCATTAGAATCCTATCTTGAAGTGTCAAGTGTCTCAGGTCCCCTTAGTCCCACTAAATGGTGTGTGTGTCTTTACGGGGAAAATTATTCAAAAATAAATTGCCAAGTAATTTGATAAATTTTTTGTCTGTGTAATCTAAACATTGCCACTTAAGATAACTATATTTGGCATGTAATAGAGTTTGTGTTATTTTTTTTGCAATGATCGAAATTCACAAATATGTATTAAAAAATTAAGCTCCATCAAAACTGTACTCAGTGATTACAATTTTATCCTAACAATTAATTTTTTTTTTGTGCGTGATTTAGCTTTTTTATAGGAAGACAATGATCGAATATATCCTATACAGCATAAAAAAAAATGCAATTGTTGTGTTGTCTAATTACTAATTCCTATTTCTATAGCTGGGTAAATAAAAACAGACGGAACAACAATTAAAATAGTAAATAATAAAATTGATTACTAGATTTCTATGTCATGTGTAAATATTAATCATAGTAATTTTTTTATAGTAAACGATTACCATTGTATTGTGGAATAAGTGATTGTGGACTAAATCAACAAAAAGTGTTGAGAGCTTTCTGTTTGGGATCCGATTTGGCTAAAAGCATGTCTGAAAAGGGAGCCCTTCGTATTATAGAAGAAGCCAAAGCCTCTATTGCAGCTACCATTTAATTTATTTATCAATTAATTAGTTACATTAGTGCTGGAATTATTTTTATATCGAATATAAAAATATGTATATTTATGTGAGTTTTAGTCAATAGTAAAAATGGTTCTAATGTGTCGAAAGATTTATATTTTTTGTTAATATTTATTATTGTTATTGTTATTTTTAGATTTTAATTATTTGGTTGTCGGCATTAATTTTTTTATAATTAAAAAAATTGGTATGAATACCGTAGAAAATTTGTCTTCTTTTTTTTCATGGAATCATTGGATGACCTGATTATGATTCTAATTTAAAAAAAAATTCTAGTGCTAAGAGGATTTGTTACTAATTTTATCAATCCAGATGATTGTTATTTGATAATTTGTTCAATTTTTTGTTTTGTTTTTCATAATTAGTATAATATACTATTTGATAAGACAAAGGATTCAAACTATTTGTATTGAAATTTTACTTATTATCTTAAATTTTAATTTAATGAAATGATACTTTAAATGTATGAAATGTTTAAAAGAAAAAAAAGAAAGAAATTTAATGATCTGTTATAATTAGTTATTATGATGGAATCGGTTAATCATGTGTGCCTTATCAAGTGCTGCATTCATTATTCTACTGTAGAATTTTCATATTTTATATACTATTGAATACTTACGAATTAATTAGTACAATTACTAAGTATTAGTAATTAATATGTACAAATTCAATTCAATTCATATATGAACAGACTAATGTTGTTTGTTCAATTGTACAGCCTGCCAATTAACAATACAACTTACCAAAAAGGCTAAGTTCAAGTCTAAGGATAGCAGAGCCTTCCCTCCTTTCCTTACGATAATCATTCTATGTTACGTTACTTTTAATATAAGACTGAGTCAAATGACAAATCTTTAATTTAACTAGGGGAGTTGAGGGAAAGTCGGCTACCTATTTATTGAGAATTACATAGTGCTCAAAAATAAATTTCAAACCTAATGTGACATTTTGTTTACATAACTTGAATTCTGTTTTACTGCACTCTTAAATATATATATATTTTTTTTGTTATTTGGACTTGATAGTGTTCATTCGTTTTCCTACTGTGAATTATGTTTATAATTTTTAAACATTGTTATAATACTTTGTATTTAGTTCATTATAAGCAATAAAGATATATGACTTTTGTACTTAATATGATTTGGCTACTTAAGTGATATAATGTTTTTTATTTGTAATTATAATTGTTTATTTATAAAGAAATATTAATTTATTTTCTTTGATTCTGATTAAATATACATGACTTTGTTATATTAAACATTTTTAGTTTTTTCATCTTATGGTTAATTATTTAATATTTGTTAAGTTCTATTTACTATTTTAAAAATTTGCTTTGAGTTGAAGTAATTAGTCAATACTTTTGGTAATATAAAATAGTGTTTTCTGAGGTATAAAAATCATTGTTCATGTTCTTTGTCTATATTTTGACAAAATGAAATATAACGACCAAAATCATTGTATTATAATCAGAATATCCTTTGTTGCCCTTAGCCATCAAATCAAATGAACAGATTTTGTAAATATAGATTAATAAAAAATTGTTTTTGTATGAAATGGTTTAGTTTCTAATCCAACTGTTTGCAATGCTTCTGTTAAAAATAGTTTTTGAATTTTCTTCTACCTGACTAATGGTAATGTTTAGATTATTATGTTACTGTTTTATAGCTCAATATCTTTTGCTCATAAATTCAATTGGATTACTGAGATTCTGTTTTAACAAGAATGAAAATTAATAGCAATTCGTCATTTTAGAAGCAATCTTAATCTCAAATTTCTAAACTTTCCTGGAGAGTTTAGAAAAAAAAAAAAAATTTAAATTAAGTTTTTATTAGCTTTGAGCAGAATTTTGTTTAACTTAAAGTTAGGGAGATTTTGAATAAATAGGTATATATATTTCAATTTTGGTTTATTATTTTTAATAACCAACCTTTGTAATCGACCAAGAAAAAAAAACTGAATTCCCATCAAAATTTAAGGTTTTATGTTACGAGATACTTAGAATCCAAAAATTGAATAAAAGAATCCGTTCGTCCACGGCTTTTATCCAAGACTACTGGACCGACTGTTTTGAGATTCGGTATTAATATCAAAGGGAACCCAATGGTGATCTTTAGAACTTGGTATTACCATCTGCATTTTCCTTTCAAGATGGTGACCGAAAAAACCTGTGTCACTATAGACTGTAACTTCTAAAGTTACAGGATGTTGACCAACCAGCAAAAATGGGAAAAGTCAAGAAATTTTCAAAACTGCAAAAAATTGTTAGTCAGGAAATTTGTTTAGTAAATAAATATTTTTTTCAAATTGGAAATAAATATACAGTGGATATCGTTATAATGACCTTGAAGGGGTACATTCAATCTGACATCCCACCAAAAATGTCACAGTTGGTATCATGTGGATAATTAAGCTGTTTATAACAATAAAGAAACTAAATTACTTATTAGAAACTACATTAATATTAGAATTCCCGATACCTCAATCAACGTCAGGTCCCGCGTGCACGGGGTAATGAAGGTCTAGCAAACCCCGGGTGCGTGGGATTTATTCACTGAATTGCTCCTGTCTTTTTTCACATTTCACATTAAAATATGCCTTTTTTTTTTTTTTTTTATAACTGACACATTTTTCTTTAATATGATAGCTCATATTTCTATAAACACTTAATATTTATTTTAATTTTATAATTTATTAATTGTCTCACATTACTTAAATTTTAAACTTTCTTTTAACTTTATAATTTATTAATTGTCTTACATTACTTTTACATTCTACTGTAACATTTACATTATTTTTTGATATATTGTAATATTTTTTTGATACATATAGCGTCATTATTTTTTTTCTGCCCCTACATACGGGCAGGGGTCTCAAAAAGGCCTATTGTGCGTCATCCTAAACTCAGTTAAAACAGGCCAGATGCCTTCGTGAACCTAATGATACTGATGGGATCAATCAATTCACAGTGCTTGGGGTCAGTGATACGATCACATCCAAAGTGAAAGTATCGCAGTCTAGCCAAATTACAACATCTGCAAATAATGTGATAGGTCCATTTCATCCTCCAGGCCAGATAGCCTGCAGGTGGAGGTCTCACTTACACCCAAATTGAAAAGGTGCTTATTTAATTCACAGTGACCAGTATACAGTCCTGTTACCCGCCTAATGGTATTCCTGTTGATTAGAAAGAGTGGATTGCTTCTTTTATGGTAGGGCCCTACAAGGAATAATTTAGAATGCATCTGTTTCCTAGTCTGTGTCCAATGTAGCATAAATTTATTGCTCACAATTGTCTTAATATAGCTTTTGGCAAAGCCAAGGCTTATCCCACAAATAGGCTCTGCTGCAATCGGCACCTGCGCAGAGCCTTTCTTAGCAAGGTAATCGGCTTTCTCATTTCCTGGAATTCCTGACTGTCCAGGTACCCTATTCTACTCTCACCTTATTAGTACTACAAAGAAGATTAAGATTGCCTTTGCATTCATCCACCAACTTTGAGTGACTTGCATAACTATTCAGAACCCCAATTGCCGCTTGACTATCTGTATATATTGTTATCAATCTACTCACAATGCTCTCCTTAATAAGTGATTGGGCACAGTAATAGATGGGGCTAAAATCTTGGCTTGAAAGACGGATGTATATCTACCTAGAGATATAAATATTCCCTCGTTAGGTTTATCCTTTCTCCAGATAGCAGCCCCTGATCGCTGCTCCATTAAGGAACCGATGATTTTATTCTTTATTTGCAATTTTTTTTAAACGTTTCATTGTATGATAAATTTGATTACCAATACTTCAATTTTTCATCTTATCTTCAAATCTTCATCCACACCTGTGATGGTAGTGACAATTAGCAGATTTGTTGTTGCATAAAAAATGACATGATAGGCATGATGAAGATTAGTACCCAGCAGCACTTCTTCCCTGTTCTGTTTACATCCTGAAATCAAAAAAGGAAATCCTCTCATCCAGCTCCTTTTCAGTCCAAATGGGTTTGAGCAGGTAAGTGTATGTATTTAGTTTTTTGATTTTCAATTTTGATTTGAAAAGAAATGAGTAAAGTATTTTCAATTGTTTGTTCAAAGTCTTTCGTTTCATTTTGACGAGTGGGGACCAGGTCTTCCTTACAGTGTTCGTCTAAGGAATTTGATTGTCACTGGTATAAACTGGTGGTCATGTGACTCGTCGAAGTGGAAATGTTATGTGTTGTGATTTTTCATGATTTAATCTAATTTTCCAAAGTGAATACCAATTTTATAAATTTAGTGAGGCTAGTGTGGGGTCAAGGTTGTTTGTTAAAATTGTTGTATCGTCAGCTTAATTACCAGTCAATGTTTCGGAGGTGGTAGGCATGTCATGGGTTTAGATAATATAGAGTAAAGGAGCTAATATTGATCCTTTAGGCACCCTTTCTGACACTGGTCGATTTGAGGAAATTTCTAAACCCTGTCTAAAAGGAAAGACTGAAGAATGGGATAGTATGAATGAGGCAGTATAGTTTTGAGTTTAAAGAGTAGTCCATGGTGCCAGACTTCAAATGCCTGGGCAACATCCAGAAACACGCTGGTTGCATATTGTTTTTGCTATAGCTCTCCAGCAATGTAGTCAGTAACTCTGTAATGGGTGTGAAGTTGAATGAAATGTACGAAAACCGAATTGATGGTCAGGAATTATTTCTTGGTCTTTCACTATGTCAACCAGTCTTGTAAATATTAATTTTTGGATTAGTTTCATTAGTCATTGCATTAGTCCAATTGCATTCCACAAAAGGATGGACAGGGAGCCTATAGTCAGCTGATTAATGGCCATTAGGAAGACACATATGCCTTGTATTACCTGTACGAGCTGTTGGAGGAGGCTAAAAATGGGCTGAATGAGAGTATTCAGACCATTCAATAACTGGAATAGTTGTGGAGACATGCAGTTATTGGCTAAAGGTGGCTGGTTACTTCCCTCATTGCCACTGAAGGTCAAGTGTTTTGAGGTACTGATGATGGAGACTGTAGAGATAGATATGTTTCTGAGCTTGTGGTTGTGTTTGCTCAAGGTGTTTCTTGTATGTTGGCTTCAGTTGTTGTGCTGGAGATGGCTTCTGCTTCTGCCCTTGATGTTGATGAAAGCTTTTTGAAGGTTGTGGAAGAGCCGGGAAATTTTGAAGATTTGCAGGAGAGGATAGGCTCTGGTTAACATGATTTCTTTTGGTCCTCTCTGTGCTCTTAGATCTCTAAGGGTTTGACACCCACGATAATTGGCCGGATGTTTGCCTAAGCAATTAGCTGAGGTTTCTCTTGTTTTATTAGTAGTGGAGCTGTCATGATCTTGTCCACATCTGACGCACTGTGGTGCGTGGTTGAAATATGATCGTGTGTGGCCGTATTGTTGGCATCTGATGCATTGAGGGAAGTGTTTCTTCTTTCTAGGTTCTTCAATTGTCACCTTCATAAAAAATAATTTAGTGATTTCAAATATTTTTTCCAATGAGTTTTCTTACTTACATCTACAAAAAACATAGGTAATGGTCGTTTAAAATGTGAGATGGCGTTGGTAATACCTACGATTTTGCATCTGTAGATTTCAAGATATCTTTTAATTTCTTTAATTGTTGTGTTGTTATGGTCTTTAATCACCACCCGAGGATTTCTTTCCGCACCGAGCTCATAAGTATGAAATTCAGCTCCACTGTTTCTTAAGCAGCCAACTATTTTTCTGTAATAATTTGGAATCTGGGAGTAAATAGTTACTTCATTAGAAGTGGTTCTAAGCAAAAGGTATCTTGTCTTGAATTTATTTGTAAATACGACACAAGAGCAGCGCAATTTTCAACACTGGTGATGTAGATTGGAGGTGGATTCTTAGTAGCATTAGATGTTTGGCATTGTTCGTTGGTACTAACTAGAACCTGAAAACTATTACTATTAGTTACCACTACTTCCTGTCTTATCTGTTTCATTGGGTCCCTGTCTTCAGTAATATTCCTTTTTCTGCCTGTTACTAGCTCCCAAGCACCTGTTTTGTTGCCTGTTGTGTGAACATGCTTATGATTTGCCTCAACAAACCAAAATATCAATGATTTGCCATTATTATTCTGTTGCATATTTCTACAGACGTATTGATGGTAGAAGTTAGGTGAATTTCTGCACTCTTTCTTTCTTTACTATTGTAGTCTTGGAATCATTTATCTTGAGACCTAGTCTAGAAACAAACTGGTGGTTTGTCAGAAAGTCTTTCCTCAACTAATGTTTTGATTTAACGGCAATATCAATATTATCAGCAAAGCCTAAGAGTTGAATTCTTCAATTGACAATACTTGATGCCTGTACTCCCAAATCTCTTACTGTCTCCTCAGAGTCCAAAATGAACTGAGGATATGCAATCCCATCACTCTGTCGTAGACACTTGACGATCTATAGATGTGAAGGGGACCGAATCTAAATTTGAAAATTTTCAGAAAACCTAGATATGCATAATTCAGAAATTTATTGTAATTTGAAACTCAATCTAATTTTGAATGTAAAACTAGATTGTATTGAGTACAAAAGTTTAAGTGGGGATGACACTATTATGTATTAGACATTACTATTGGATTTACATCTTGCTAACCATTAGACAGCATCTATACTGCATAAAAATGAATACGGTTATTTTTACTTATGTATGATTTATTTTCCCCAGAATTTTTGTTTTATTTTTATCATAAAATTCACTACAAACTAATACAAACAGAATTGTATTTGACCTCAAGAAATTTTAGTAAAGATGTTTAGAAAAAAAAAAAAAAAATTAAAGGTTTATGTGATCTTACTTTTATGATAGCGAATTGTAAATATTTTGTAGAATTTAATAATTTGTGTAATATCCTCTGTTACACACTACCTCTCTGCACATATTAAGCATACTGTTTATAATCTTGTCAATGATTTTACAAGGAATTTACAACATAATAAGTTGCTGATAAACTGATATCAAGTTGATAATATAATATAATTTAAATTGATAATATAGTTGCTGAAGATAAAGAAGGTGCTAATGATGATAAAAAATCCTTCTCTGCAGTGCATCCCACATGCGCTCACTCCAAAGGATTGAGATGTGGAGACAATATGGGAATTTTCTAGACATTGATGAACAACTTTTAATCTTTGAGGTCGCGTATTGTCATCAAGAAAATGGAAATCTGTGCCAATTATGGCTCTGGTTTGAGGAAAGTATTCATCTATAACTTCGTTTAATTTAATGTATTTTAATTAAAACAAATAAAATAACCATCAAATAGAAAAATCCTTAATCCTTTTTGCACAGTATAGTTATTGAAAATTAAATTTTGCATGCTTGTAACTTTTGTTTTCACGAATTTTCTCGTAATATAAAATGATTTATTTAATTAACGATTATTAGGGGACAAAAGGTTATGTAAGTAGAATATATTAATTTTTTAAATAATTTTATTGAAAATTATAACATAGTACAATTTCCTTTTCTATACAACAATTGGACTAATGTAAAATTAAGAAATAGGAGCACTCTATGTTTATATTTAGGCACCATGTTCGTGCTTTCCTCATGACCTTATATTAACATGCCGCCTCTATAGAAAACATACATTACAGTTTAACAAAACAGAAGTCATTGCTTCCCATTTGGCTGAAAGAAAACAAATACAAGCCAAGAATAAAACTAAATTCTAAATTGCAAAAATCAGTTTTCAGGATTGAAAGTCAATCTTGCATTTAAATAAAAAAATATTTATAAAAGTACAAGTAACTTAAAAGAAAAAATCTTATTGCTACAAAGTATTTATTTAGAATAATAAAGACAAAAAAAAAGTAGAAGTCACTTTTAACAATAAATATTTCAGCTATACATAAGAGTTCATTATTCAACCTCATCTTCAACCATAACAGGACCCCCTCCTCCACACGGTTGTTCTAGTAATCTCTGAAATTTTAAATAAGTATAAATATTTACATAAATATAGAATTTTTATTAATTATGAGAAAAAAAAATCTATTAATTATGAGCATAGAGATATACTTTCAAATCTCTCTAGGCATATATAATTATTTAAGGTTATACATATAAACTTCTGACTAGTATTGCCGGAAATTAATTTTCGACCTAAATAAATATTTTCTTCATTTTTCAATTATCAAATTCTTTCAAAAGTTATATTTAGCATTTCCTCGTAACTCTTAATAATGAGATAGTTAATTATTTAAAATGAACCAAATTAAAGGTACTTTAGAGGAAGACAGGTTGAACATATAAGCACTGTAAAGTGACATCAATGGGAATACGAATTTTCATAGCAATCCAAAAATTGCTATTGTAATTGTAAAGTATCCTTTTAGCAAATTAAATTAGGTTAAATTTAATTAAAGATAAACTATTCTGCACAAAAAAAGAAATTTGTTGGTATATAGTAACCTAAAAATCTAGTAGTTATGTATGATTTAGTTGATGGCCAAAATAAAAATCATCCAAGAAAATCAATTACTAAAGGTTGTATTTTTTTATTTTCATAAGAATTCGTATTTATGAGTTTTAAAGGGGCCTAAAAATGAATATAATTAGCTTTTTACAAAATCTATCCTATCTCAAGGAGTAGATCTGTATAAATGACGTAATATTGCTTATCGAGTCCTTACACATGCAATAATATTAACTTCAATACTATTGAAGGACCTTCAATAAAAAAAAAATTGATTGATAGATATATTGCCAGTTTCATTGATGTCAATATTATCGATTCAATTAAGTCATTATACGGTTAATATATTGACAAAATTTGATATTGAATCAATTATATTGGTCAAGCGAGGGGTCCTTTAGTCTGAATAAAAATATTTAATTGAAGAGAAGGACAGTTGGGGTGATCAGTCAAAATGAAATAGTAAAAATAAATAATTGTATTTATTTTTACATTTGCCGAAGTTCAGGAATTGATCAGGGCTGAGGAAAGAACCAGATAACAATAGGTATAAGAATAGGTTTATAACAATAGGTATAAACATGGTTGAAAGGGATAGATTAAAAATTTTAGGTACAAAAACTTAACGTAAAATGAAATAGATAGAGTGAACATTAAAGTAAAACAAAGTAGGTAGCATGATAGCAGTAACAGAGAACTAAGAAATAAATAATAATAATGGTAACAAAGCACGGACCAGTGAAATAAGCATAATAAAATATAATATAAGGTAACATAAGAAATGAAAATGGTAATCTTAGAATAAAGTGTAAGAAAGAGAAAAGAAATACGAAGTTATATAAGGAATAAATCTTAGAATAAAGTGTAAAATAGAAAACTAAGACATTGTAAAATCTATCAAAAATACTGACTACGTATAAGAGAATAAAAAGTAAAAATAATGTAAAAAAACTATTAGCAAATGTATCAAGATATAGATACATTAATAATAATGGTACTGGTACATAGCCAGGTGGGACGAAACCTCACTTGTTATCTAACATCATGTCACCTCCCTCTTCTTATCTTGCCAAACCTTTCAGTTATTATATTGTTTATTTTTCAGTTATTCACTTATTATATTCAGTTATTAAATTCTTTATTTTTGGCCCGTTAGTGTTATTTTCGTCAAATTATGAATCTTGTTACATTCTGGGAATTACCGCCTTCAGAAGAACAGGCTATTGAATATTTTCAAAATGTTGGGATACTAGCAAACGTGAAATTGTGTGAACAAGGTCATCAAATGAAGTTAGACAAGGAAGCGAAATGGAGATGCTGTCGTAGCACTTGTAACATAAAAGTTTCAATAAGGAAAGGAACGTGGTTAGATGGCTCGAGAATTTTGTTTTTAACAGCTTTAAAATTTATTTATGGGCGGTTCCATAATTTAACAACGATGAAGTGGAACAAATCACATTCTCTACACACATATATGTATTAATTTAATATATATGTCGTAAAATAAAAATATTATTTATTATTACATTTGTTTTTGTTTCTGTTTACAATTTCAATAATATGAATATAATACAATAAATATGAATATGAAGATAGGAATTACGAGAAGGCTTATCACTACCTTATCAGAATTATCAGTGTTCAGGTTATAAACATTGGCAGATAACCTGGGACAGTCCGTCCCGCCCGGCTAATGGACCAGTACCATAATAATATATAGAAAATAGAGATGGAGAAGATATGGAAAATAGAGTGATGGGAAGGACGAAGAAAAATAAACGAACCTACTTTAGCAAGAAGCAAAGACAGAAAAACTTATTCTAACGGGAGGGAGGGGAGCTGGCAGATGGCGTCCTCTGTAACATTTGGCCGAAAAATGTGCACTAAAGCACAGGAATGTATATGATGGACGAGAGATTTATGATAGATAATATTTTATTTATTTATAATACCTGATCTGTCTCCTGTTCAAGCTTGCACTGGAGAAAGCTGTACGGGATTCAGGAATCCAGACAGACCACACAATATTCACCCGTACTGTACAGATATTGGGATATGCTGACGATCTGTATATTGTGGCCAGGACCCGATTGGTAGAAGCCTTTAGGAAACTCACGGACGCTGCTTCAGCCATGGGGTTGGCCATAAACGAGAATAAAACGAAATATATGCACACAGGAACTGGTGGCGACAAGGCACTAAGTGTTGGCCCTTCCATATTCCAAAGGGTGAACGAGTTTACGTATTTGGGATCCCTAGTAACACCAATAAACGATGTCTCTGCTGAGATAAGGAAGAGGCTGGTGGCCGCAAATAGGACATATTTTGCTTTGCTGAAAACTCTCCGCAGCAGATCCATTACCAGGGGGCACAAAACTGGTCATATACAAGACTCTTATACGCCCAGTTCTTACCTATGCTTCCCAATCCTGGACCATCTCAAGAAGTGATGAAAATAATCTTTTGATTTTCGAAAGCAAAATCTTATGGCGAATAGTTGGCTCAGTGAGAGATGGAGATGGATGGAGGATCAGAAGAAGCAGAGAGCTTTATGACCTTTACGGAGACATGGACGTTGTAAAGGTTATAAAACTGGGGAGGCTCATTTGGACTGGCCATGTAACAAGGGTGGAAGCTGAAGAAATTCCTAGAAAAGTAGTAGACACCGCCCTTCACGGTACACGACAGTCTGATAGGTCAAGACTTCGATGGGTTGATGGAGTGGCAGCGGAAGCATGGAGCCTGCTACGGATCAGAAGCTGGAAAGGCAGCACAAAATAGGGCCTGATAAAAATGATATTGTCTGGGTAGAGAGAGATAATGGAGTCTAGAAGGTCGTTAAGAACGATGTTGGAGATGTCGGGAGTGAGGGGGTTGCCCATGGCTAGTCCAGAAATTTGGTTAAAAAATTGTCTTTGGAAGATGAAGTAGCCTGATTTACAACATAGATATAGATGACATGATTAGAGATATGAGGAACGGTTAAGTAAGGTGTCGGGTTCAATGATAGGCTAATTGTCGTCTATTATATTGAGTGCATTGTCTATGGACATGTTCGTGAATAAACTTTCAATGTCAAAGGAGCAAAGAATGAAATGGTCTGGAATGGTAAAGGAAGTTAGCTGTTATCAGAGATAGAATGAATTATTTACATCAGGGTTGTTGTAAGTGAGAATTTGTAAGGATGGTAATAAGAATTTGCTAAGTTTGACTGAAGAAGAATTGATATTGGAAGTGATGGGATGGAGGGGTGTGCCAGGTTTGTAGATTTTAGGAAGTCCATAAAAATGGGGGACAACTGAATTGTAGGAAATCAGGTTTCTGTAAGCAGGATAGTTTATAAGTTTGGAATTTAAAAGATTTTTTAGGTATAGGTTAAATTTAGTTTTTAGTGTTGGGGTTGGGTTACGGGATGTGGAAGAGTAAGTGGAACGATCTGATAGGAATAAGGTCATTTTGTCTGTATATTCTGTATGGTCCATAATTACAGTTTTGTTACCTTTGTCAGATCTGGTTATAGCAATGTCATGGGATTTTAAGAAGGATCGGGCAGGTAAAATAAAAGAGAGGTCTTTGAAAAAATCAGGAGAGAATGGTGAGTGTAAAAGATAATTGGAAATATGCGTGACAACTCCTTATTTTCTTAAGGAGTGGTGAAAAGATCGTCTGCGTAAATATATTCTAGGTCTGTAATGAGTTTTGGGATGATTTTGATAGAGGTGTTAGGTGTGGAGAAATTTGGTCCTAAACTTAAAATTTTTATAACTTTGGAGGGGATGTCTAAGGAACAAATATTATCTACCCATCCTTCTTTGCCTGCAGGATAAAATTTATTTTTGAGAGTAGTTTGGTAAAGATATTTGAGTTTGGAAATCAGTAGTAGTTTCTTCTGTGCTTAAGTAGAAATGAAAATATTAGAGACACAAACTGAAAGATTATTGATGTCTTCTTGATTGATCTTATGATCTAAAAATTGGGTGAGAAATGAAATTTTTTTATTAAGAAAATGAATATTTTGAATAGTTTTGCAGATTTTTAAGTTCAGTAAAGAATTTTTGAATTTAAGAGTGGAAGTTATCAATTTTGAGTTGAATGGAGATGATATTGAAATACAGTTGCAAGAGTTTTGGAAAAATGGAATTAGAGCGGCATTTGATAAGAAAAATATACGTTGTTCGGCACTATTTGCGAGGCGTTTATGGAGATGACAAAGGTTGTTGAAGCGCGATTTAAGGTGAGGATAGGAAGACTTCAAGGAGGAGAAGGATATATGAGGTTGAGTAGAAGGTTGTACATTAAGTGCTTGAAGAGCTGTAGAGGAAGAAGAGTTGCGCAAGGATGGTGGTGGCCGGAGAGTGAACAGGAGAGCGTGGCAAAGAGGTTACTGCTGGAAACTGAAGAGGTCTAGAACGATTTTGAGATCTGGTTCAGTGGTGAATAGTAAGGATGTTATCTGGTCGTTGGCCCGTGTATGTAGATTCATAATTGTGGGTTGATGGTTGACTGTAGTGAATAATTGAAGAGAAGAATGGTTGGGGTGATCAGTCTAATTACTTAAATGTTCACTTTATCTACTTCATTTTACGTTAAGTTATTTGTACCTAAAATTTTTAGTCTATATCTTTCACCTTTTTTAATTTTAATTCTGTATCATTCAATGCTCATAGTTTCTTATACCTATTGTTATCTGGCTCTTTCCTCAGCCCTGATAAAGACCTGAACTTCAGGCATAATAATAAATAAAATTATTTATTTTAACTATTGTATTTCGACTGATCATCCCAACATCCTTCTCTTCAATTATTCACTACAGTCAATCATCAACCCACAATTAAAAATATTTTGAGATTAAAATTAGTTTCAGTATGGTTGATAAAAACAGATTTCCTCAACAGAATTATTGCATTATAATCTTATTAATTTTATTAAAATATATAATCAACAAAATATTGATAGAAGTGACCAAAATTTATAAGAAGAAATTACCTGACTCAGACTTGGAAGCCTCTGGAGTAACATATAGAAGACGTTAGGAGGTAATGTTTGCTGAAGAACTTTCAAAAGTTGATTAGGCCTTCCACACACAGCAACAGCATTACCAAGATGCTCGACACCTCCTTCAACATCGCCCTGACCAAGAAGTTCTTCACCTAACTGAACCTTTAAATAACAATTGATTAAAGTAATCATGTCATTGCAACAAATTAACATAAATGATAATGCAATTCTTATTTATTTATAAATTAGTTAATAAACATAAATTTACTACAAACATTGAGAAACTTACTTCATGCAAAAAGAAAGCTTGGGCTTCTTCATGGTCCCTCAAATCAGGAAGTTTGGATTGTGCTTTGCTTTGGCATTTTAGCTTATTTGCTTTTCTTCCTTTAAAAAACAACAACATTAAAATAGATATAAAGTTAATTTAAGGATGATTTTATTTTAAATAAGATTATTAATAATCACTAAAACAAAAAAACTTGAGGTATGCAGTCACAAATATTTTATATGGAAATACTGAATATGCCGGAGTGCAGTATAATTACTACATATACAGAAGAAGTTATTAAAATACATTACATCATCATATGTTACAATTAAATTGGATCCAAAACATGATAAAAATGTCTCAATACTTGACTCAAAACAAGGGAAGCAAAATCATTTTTATTGCTTATATAATCTATACTACTACAACCCACTCAGGGTTTAGGGTTCAAAAATTTGAAAGGAAGTACTATTTCTTAGACAAGAGGTGATTTGACAGAGATAACAAATCCATGTAGTACAAAGACAGAAAAAATTATATAAAAAATATATTTTCTTGGCTCCTAAGGGTGATTGGCATGAACTTTCTAACATAGGTCTAATATTTTTTGTCATAGTATCACAAAAAAAAGTTTCATTAATATCGGTGATATTATGTCTATAGTTTTCACTTGTTAGTAACTTCGGGTTTGGGTGTGGAGCTTCATAAATCACTAATTCAAGTTTTCCAAATGAACTCTAAGCAGACAAAAACTGAAATCTATTCTTTCATTTCAACTAAACTAAATGATGGCCCTCATGATATGAATGAAATACGTACTGACGACCTTGGCCTGTAACACAGGATAACTTAAAATATTTAAGCAGCATCGAAGATTAGTGTCAGGATCCAAAACAATCTTGCAATACTTAACAACTAAATTTCCATTAAAATAATAGTCGAGTACGCAGCAATTGAAAATAGAGAAGTAAATATTATTAATTAATTGGGATGTATCACATTCCTTAAATACGTGATTAATTTAATATAAGCATATAAATTAATGCAAGATTTCTGCTGAAAAAGATCGGAGTAAAAAATAAATAAATAAAAAACAATTAAAGAGTTCGGAATGGCTGATCCAAACCAGAGATGGACAAACGCTACGCTGAATACTGAGCTCAGAGAGTGAGAGGGGGCTTTCGGGAGGCTTTAATTTCTTACTTTTTATCTAAAGTAATTATCATTATACACATATATAATATATATCTATATATAAAGCTTCCAGGCTGAAGCCCCTCCAAAAATTAAATCTTAGATCCACTAGTGATAGGGAGTACCAAGAATATTACTCAAATATTGACCTTTTTTGAGTACCAAAGAATTTAAGTACTACTTCAGTTGATTAACTGAAGAAGTGATTCAATTTGAGTAAAATACATGATACTATGTACTCAGAGTAGCACTTGCCCATCTCTGGTCCAAACCATTTCTTTGCAAAAAGCTTTACTAAATAGTTTCAACAGTAAAATTAATGTAGTCTTACAGAAAGATAAACAAGAAATATTAAGTTAGAAAGCAATTTTATTCTACTTATAATGCACATTATGTGAGTGATGTATGATATCTCAGTAGAAGGGAAGCAATAAATTTAGGCACTGATAATGCAGGCATGGGGTAACAGAAATAGTAACCTGATTCCTAGTGGGTGCATAGGAAAAACTCAATTCAGTACTAATTTTTAAATTCCACAAAAAATAAATACTACATTATAAAATTCTTAAATAAGTTGAATAAGTTATTTGAGGCCTTACTTTCACGAAGTTTCTTTTTGAAATTTGGGTCTTTTCTCCTCTGCTGATCAAAATATACGCAATACCCGACGAAAAGGGTTCCGAAAATACCAGCCGCTATTCCAAGAGCTGTTTTAGAAATCATTGTCATTGGCTACAATAAAACAAAAAATTTAGTTTTAACTTGGAACAAGCAGTTCACTCCATTTTTCTCTCCACAGCCTTCCAAATATGAGCTTAGTCCTTTCAGTTTGCGGCATTCTTTCATTTATTTAAATATAAATAAAATTTCTGTAATTTTATGTTAAAATAGATGTTTTATTTTCTAGACTCTATTAATTAGCATTGATATCTAATGAGAATATTTTCTGGTTTAACACATATGTATTCAAACCTCACCTGTTCGAGTATACTGGATCAGTGCATAAATTACTAGTCAGCCAGCTAGTAACTTTTTGCCGCATCAGGAGTATTATATTCTTATCACTTTATGAAAGTACTTTAGATCTTTGTAAAATAATGATTTTGAAAAAACAAAGGTTTGTTGATATTTCTAAATAAAAACCATTTTAAAGAACTAGTTTCAAAGTGCTGCAAAACAGGGCCAATCAAAATTTTGCTATATTATGTTTTAAGGCATTAAGTATTTATCTCTTAACATTTGAGACAGCTGAAAGTAATAGGTTTAACAAATTATAAAGTTTTATTAGAATATATGTTTATTTATTTACCTTTCTCTAATTGTTTATACCCGTAATCTATTTTTCACATGAGAATTTTGTTATTTTGTGTTTCACCATAAGTTAGACTCATTGGTATTTACAAAATTTTATTCTTATGAATTACAAACTATATAACAAGTGGCCATGTAAGTTTTGTAATGAATTTGATATTTATCAGTGTCAGTGCACTAATTACTAATGTTCAAATTAAAATTATGGGTTATTTTGATCTTGAAACCTGTTGTTTTAAATTAATGACATTTATCTGCCAATTTTTTTTTCAGATGTTTAATTTGAATTTTTTTGTTTAAAAAAAATCATAATTTCATGTAGTATTTATTGAATTTCTGTTTACTCTTTCAAACATTATCTTAGTACTTTTTTCCCCCCTTCTATTTATTAATACATCCATAGTTATGAGGTTTTTGATGGATGAAATGCCAGTATTTATGGAAAGTATCTTAAAATTTTATTTCTACTCATAGGTTTTCTTTTAATCTAAAAATTAGTGTATACAATTTTATCAGAGCTGCTATTCCACTTTAAATATTTATTGTAAAATGAGTTTCAAGAGATATTAACTTAAGTGGATTATTAATTATATCTACCATGTTTGTCCAATTGTTTTGAATCTAGCAATTGCCTCTAGTTAATTAACCTTGATTGAATATTCATGAGGTTTTTTAAAAACTATTATTTAATATTTTTGGTTTCAGGCTAATATTCGTGTGCCTCTTTGTTTTCACATTTCATAATGGTCATACTGTTGACAGAAGTAACTTCAAGACATGTGAGCAAAGTAGTTTTTGCAGGTAATTGTGGTTGTTATTCTTGTATTTTTTGTTTATAAATTTGATTCAATTTACTATAGTACTTATCATTTCTTAGGCGATGTCGCAAAATGGAGCCTGGTAAATCTAGTTATGAAGTTGATTTAGATACACTTTCTGTTTCGGATAACCAATTACAAGTTCAATTAGTGAACACCGAACAGGAAAATGGAGTAAGATTTACTTTAAAACTCACTCCCTTGAAAGATGACACCCTCAGATTACAGGTTGAAGAATTAAAACCATTAAGGCAGAGGTTTGTGCCTCCAGAAGTATTGGTTGGTGATTTGGAAACTAGTAAGAGGTTGGTTATTACTTTCTCTTTAACATATTTCTGGCCTGCTTTAGTTTTTCTGATCTCTCCCTTTTATGTTTTTCAGGTTTTCATTGTTGTCTAAGACAGGAAATCTAGTTGAGCTTCAATTCGAGAATTATATTGTTGAGATTCATTCTGTTCCATTTAGACTAGATATAAAGCATGATAATCAGGTTTTAATTTCAGTAAACCCTAGAGGTTTGTTTCGATTTGAGCACACTAGAACAAAACCGTAAGTGCCTGCTTTTATATATTTTTTAAAATCCAAAATTTGTTCATAGATTTAATTTATAAAGATTTCAATATCTTACAGATTTGCAGATAGGTTTTGGATATCTTAATTTGATTTATATTTCTTAAAAAACTTGTTATAGTTATTTGGGATTATTTTAGAGATCAGAGAGATGAAAATGAGGATCCTGGTTTATGGGAAGAAAACTTTAAGTCACATCATGACAGCAAGCCATTTGGTCCTACAGCAGTTGCGATGGATGTTTCATTTGTTGGGGCTCGGATGGCCTATGGATTGCCTGAACATGCTGACTCATTTGCTCTTCGAACAACTAAGTAAACTTCTTTTATCATACTTTAATTTGACTTGAAATAGTGTATGTGTATATAAATAAATAGGGAAGGAGTTATTTAAATATTTCATTTGAAAATATTTTTTCAGTCCCTTTTTTTCTTAATATAAATACTTTTTAGCAACATACATAATTTAACCTTTTCGCTGCTGCGAGTGACGAGCTTTACGTCTACCACAGTGCTGAATACTGGCCTGTGCTACATATCTCTGAAGAAGAAGAAAAAGAATTTTCTGAGGAACATTCTTCCAACGGTATTTGAAATATGCTTGGTGATTTTACTATTGTACGTTTCTCAGAAGTTGAGGATCTTAAGGTGCCTGATAACGTTGATGGAACTGTTGAAATATAAAGAAGTGATTATGATGTTGAAGGAATCAAAATGTCTTTCTCTGCTCTTTGACTGTCACTCCCTTCAGAATCTGACGGCAAGAATTCATCAACACTTTCGGCAGTAGTAATAAATTCGGCAGTTGCTCAGCAGCAAACCACTTATTCTCCGTTTTCAAAAAAATCCTGAGAGCAGTTGAACACGAGGTTGTTTCATAAAGAACTCTAAACAAAGAATAAAAATGGTCAAGTCAGTCAGAGAAAGGCCGTTGCATGTAGTAACCCATAACCGTTCATGAATTCTACAAGAAAAGCTACAAAATAAATCCCCACGCCATCTGTGGGCTCTAGTTAGATGCTTTACTGCACTAGAAAACTAGTAGAACGTAGCCATGACTATAGGCAACATTAGCAAATAGAAAGAAAAGCAGTGGTGCGACTATAGCCGTTGTTAGCAGTTAAAGGGTTAATAATTACATTTTAATATATATATTTTTTCTTATTTGATAAAACAAGAGTTTCGTGAAAAAGATTATTTAAACAATTCTGAATTTTTTCATTTGATAGTTTTATTATGGATAACAGTGATTTTCTGTCACCATTAAAATAATGTTTTTAATTCTTTCTATGGCTATCAAATAATGTTTTGTAGTTGTATTTTTTTATAGAATATAATTTTTCTGCTTCCAGGAAAGGAGATCCGTACCGTTTTTATAATCTGGATGTCTTTGAATATGAATTAGATCATTTTATGGCTCTTTATGCTGCAATTCCATTTCTTGTTGCTCATAGGTATGTGCTTGTTTTTTTTTTTAATGAGATATATGCTTTATAATAGCATCCTTTTTTAAGTTAAAATCAATTAAATGTTGTTTATCTTCTGGTTTTTGTGATATAACTGTGGACATATTTGTTCTAATTGTAAACATTATCAGTTATAAAGAATAAGAATCTTCCATAAAGAAATTTTATCTATCTGAATTTATGATATTTGGCTCTTAAATACTTCAAGTTTTTATTTATGATGTTTTATACTATGTTCACAGTGAAGAACATACTACAGGATTGTTCTGGATGAATCCTTCTGAAACTTGGGTTGATATTGTTTCTGATACAGACAATGTAGTTTCTTCAATTGTAAATTTTGTGTCTGGTCATCCAAAACCACAAGTGGAGACACACTTTATGTCAGAAAGTGGCAATATTGATGCATTTTTCACTTTAGGTCCACGTCCTCATGATGTTTTTAGGCAATATACAGTTCTTACTGGTACTGCTCCTATACCACCTGTAAGTAATTAAAAAAAAACATAATTACAATATTTGTTTTTTTACAGACTTGTCATAATCGTTTGTATATATATTTAAACGATTATGCCAAGACTGTAAAAAAAAACCAACTAATTCTGGTATGTTCAGTCACAGTTGAGTCTTGTTAATCCGGAACAAATTGGACCTGCCCAGGTCTCCATAAATTAATTTTCTGGAATATGCACAAAATTAAATATTTTATTTACTGTTCTCCCTCATGGATGAATATCTTCTGGTTAATTCTAATTATGGTTTTATTTTAAGTTCCCTATATCCAAGTTTTTGCCCTAGAAACAAATACGGTGAACAAATCGGAAAGCCTTTGAGATTATAAATCAATTTTTTTTTTTTTTTTGTACAGTACAACAAAGCATACAATGGTGCATTAACATCATAATGTTAAAATTATAATTTTTAAGAACAATTAAATTCTGAACAGGAACATCAGATAAAATGATTTACACTAAGTAATGAAAACAAGAACAATATTTTTGGACTCTTATACCATTATATGGCGTTTCCAATACTGGCTTTGTACATGTCCTGACCACAACTTGTACAAAATCTTATCCTAAGTTTCGTTATTTCAATGTGCTTCTGTTACTTTTTTTCAAACCAGTTTGGTACAAAAATCTTCAATTTCTTTTTATTTTTTTTCTTCAGAAACATTTTCTTTTTCTACTCATGAATCATTTGTAAACAAAACTTGGTGTTTCTACTCAACTGTCAGTTACTTTCTTCTGTTTAGATGACATTTTTGCATATGAAGAATCCATCTAACCGGTATATAAAAATATCAATAGAAAGCTGCAAAAGATGAATACTTTCTGATAATTGAAAAGGAAGGAAACAAATGAAAATGAAAGTCTTTCTGAAAACAGCTGCATAAACTGAGTCATCTGAAAATTTATTTTGCACACAGTCTTCTCTGTATGTACTTCCATATAATAGCCAACTAATAAAGTCAAGCAGTCTGTTTAAATTTCTTAGCTGTTTTTTTCTTGTCGGCTTTACATTCCTTATGTAGATGTTTTTTGGTCACCTGAACCAGCCTTCTCCACCTCGGCCTGTCTTAGGCTACTGCTTGCCTGTTTACTACATGCAGCTCTGAAGCATCTTTGCCGGTTCTATCTATTCATCTGCTTTTGTGCTTCTACGAGGTTTCTTGCCAACTATTGTGGCATTTATTGTTGTGCTGAAGTTTCTTGATGGATTAATTCAAGCTACATACTTTACGCTTCCTAAATTAAATTTGTTAATCTTAAGATAAGAAGAACTCAATATTATAGTTAGATTTGTAATGTTTTCGTATTCTAATCTAATATATTTATGTTTACTGATGGAGGTTAGTCGACTTTTCTACATATCAAGAATGAAAAATAGTGAGGGCGCAATCGTTTTAAGATTTTTACTGTTGCCGACATTTCAACCCAAGCATCAGGGCATGTTTGTTACCAGCACTGTTTGTTGATGATCCACATGTTTGGGTTGAAATGTCAACAACAGTAAAAATCTTAAAATGACTGCGCTCCGACTATTTATCTTTATCTTATTTGAATTTTTTTGAAAATAAGATAAATTGATTAAGTTCAATATTGATCAATTAGTATTATTGAGAAATTCGTTGTTTTAAAAAAATAGCTTTTTAAATATAATTATTTAATTTAATTTTTAAATATAATTAAATAAATTTCTATTAAAATAATTGTTTTTCTATGTTTGTACCATTTAGTGAAATATTTATGTTCACAGGAATTTGCTCTAGGATACCACCAAAGCCGTTGGAATTATAATGATGAACAAGATGTTGATAGTGTCGATAAAAACTTTGATAAACATGATATACCAATGGACGTGATGTGGTTGGATATTGAACACACAAATGGAAAAAGGTGAAATTAATTAAATAGATGCTTTTAAATCATATTTATAAGGAAATGAGTTAATTTTGTTGAAAATGTATGTTTCATATTTTTTCATTTCCATTTTATATTTTGATAGATATTTCACTTGGGATCCCGTAAAATTCCCTAACCCAATTGAAATGCAGCAGAATTTAACTGCAAGAGGTAGGAAATTAGTTGCCATTGTAGACCCACACGTAAAAAGAGATCCTGGATATTTCCTACATAATGATGCTACTAATAATGGCTATTATGTGAAGAATAAGGATAATACTGATTATGAAGGTATTTATATTTCAGTAGTGAAATTTTAAGTTATATTTTTCAATCAGTTAATATAATCTTTTAATAAAATGATTTCAAGTACTTATTACAAGGTTGTTTGTTTTAATCGTAAATTAATGGCATCTAATGAACTACTGATAAGGTTTTGTTGATGTAATATATTTTCTATGATAAAGGAATTGTTTTATTTTTGATAAAATAAATGTTAACTAATCAAATTAAAAATTGATTAATTCTTATCTGAATTTTCTAGTTAAAAAATATATGAATTACAAAAAAGTAACTTTTTGTTGAATCATATATTTTAAAAATTGGTCTAAGATAAAAAATATCCATTTATTTTCTATTCGTTTATTTTATGTAAAATAATACTGAGATTAGGAGTAATTTTAATGTGTTTTTGAAGTAAGGAGTTCTACATGTCTTATCTATTTATTTTAGCTTTGTTGAGAATGTTCAAGTTTAAAATTTGTTGTCATTATATAATCTAAGGAATTTTATTATTTTTGCAATTTTTATTGGTTCACATCATTACATGTTTAGGAAAAATTATGAGATTTTCATTAGTTATTTATGATCACTAAAGTAGATCGAATAAGTTATTGATTCTTATGAAAGAATTTTGAATGTTTATTAACTCTTTTGAAAGATTTTAAACTATTTATTATTTATCTTATAAACATATTCTTACCCTTTTGTATGATGACCTATAATAATTGGTAATTGGTTGGATAATGAAGAGAAGAATAGTTGGGGTGGTCAGTCAAAAAGGAAGGCAAAAATAAATGATAATATTTATTTTTACATATGCCGACGTTTCGACCTGAAGTTCAGGCCTTCATCAGGGCTGTCTCCTTAAGTGTTGCAGGGAGAATCAATCAATTCTCAATCAATCAATCAATCAATCTCCCTGCAACACTTAAGGAGACAGCCCTGATGAAGGCCTGAACTTCAGGTCGAAACGTCGGCATATGTAAAAATAAATATTATCATTTATTTTTGCCTTCCTTTTTGACTGACCACCCCAACTATTCTTCTCTTCATGACCTATAATAAATTTTTTAGAAATATATTAGTTATTTGGATGAATTGATTTATTTTAACTTATGACAGATAATTATTTATTTAAATGGACTCACCGATATTGTTCAATTTAGTCCTGGAGAATGTGATAAGAACAACATCACAGGAAAATGGAAGGGTCCACGTTAGGATAAATCATACAATCGTTGGATACGCAAATGATATAACTGTCCTTAGGAGGTTATCAAGAGGACATAGAGAAACTCGCTAAGACTCTGATAAGGGAGGCAGAGTAGATCGGTCTACAAGTAAATGAAGACAAATCAAAATATATGATAATAAGCCCAAAATTCCTCCCTAGTAACAGGATCTGCATAGAACGAAAATCTTTTCCGAGAATAGAAAATTTCAAATACCTCGTCTCCGGTAGGCCGTTAATAAATAATTCAGCGTACAACTAGCGCAAACATAGCTTTCATCTCCCTTTCAAAGGTCTTGAAATCCAAAATGTACAAGCTTAAGCATTAAATTTTTTAGGAACTTGAAAACACTAAGATAGAGATAATCCTAAAGTTAGAGAAGAAACATTTTGTACTAATAAAGGGTGGTTTGGGCCTTTTTTAAAAAAAAGTAATCTACTAAATATAATTACAAGGAGATGCAGTGAGCTCCGATAAGGAAGTGGCAACGAATTTTCTGTTAATGTAAATTCAGTCATAAATAAATGTTTATCGAGCAGGATTTAAAAAAAAAAAAAAAAGGACAAATTGAACTAATGTCACTTTCTAAGGAACAGAATTTGGTATAACAACAAAAATAATTAACTAATAATAGTGCTACAACCCAAAAGTAAATTATGGCTCACTCAAACAGCAACCACTACAGTTAATAATATTACTTAAACATCACTGTTTTGATTTAGTATTATTATTTATAATTTTTTTTTGAGTGGAGTTGCTCAGTGGTTAAGGGCACTGACTTCCTCCGCTTAAGATCCGGATGGTGGCAGTTAATTACTTATTCTGTTGCATCAATTGTGGATCGATCATGCGGTTAGGAGACCATTCTGGAGCATGCCCAACCCCTATAAAGTGGGTACTCTGAATTAAATAATTTATTGAGGAAAAAAAACTGGTGGTTGAGCATGATCCCGGCATTATCATCTCTCAGCTTAACCGCTGACCTTGAAACAGTATTTCCTTATCAAGTACTGAATCCAAGATAATGGTTGTGGTGGTATGATTTTTTTTTTCTTTTAAGAAATATTTACAATTATTAAATTATGAGAAAAATACTAAAATTAGAAATGTGTGATTAGAAAAAAGAAGCATTATTGTTGTTACCATTATATTGAGGAATCAGTGGTACTTCTTCACTACAACCTTTGAACTTTTGTGAGAAAACTATGCTCATCAACAAATCTAATAAGAATCTTGTACTTCTTATAAGTATAGAATCATATTTGGTCCTTAGGACTCCTTAATCCAGTCATTGAATAATGTTCGAAGCTACCGTCGAAGAGTGGAACAGGTGGTGGATCACTACCACTATGGGGGCTATCCTAAGGAAGCCAGATGGATCAAACCAGACTATTGGGTCTCAGTTCCTCATTGGACATGCCAAGTTACACAGTCTTGGACAAGACATCGATCCCCTATGCTCCAGTTGTGGTATCCCGGAAACTGCTGAGTATGTGATCACCAACTGCACTGCGTTTGAGGCACTGAGGGCCAAGCTTATGAGGAGCACAAGTATCTACAGTATTAACGAAGGAGATTTGCCTCTTCTCGTCGCTGCAGATAACTACTCATACTACGGGGCATTTGTGTATGGGTGGAAGGAACAAATAGGCACAGCCTATTTGAATATTGGAGTAAGGCGAAGACTTCCACATTCTTAATCTGGGGTGACTCCAAGATTAAAATATAACAAGAAAAGAGCAGTATAACAATAGTTCCATAAGTTACATATATACAAGAGTTAAATTTATTGCATAAAAAAAAAAAAAAAAAAAAAAAAAACGGAAGGGAGAGGGAAATAAAAAAATATATATAAATCAAATTTTTTGTTTCTTTCAATTGTTTTTTCTTTTTATGATGATAAAACTAATGTAACTTGGTTTTTCTCAGGTTGGTGTTGGCCCGATGCATCTTCCTACCTGGATTTTCTCAATCCAGAAGTTAGTGCATACCACGCAACTAGATTTAGATTAGACAAATATGAAGGATCAACTGAAGATATGTTCATATGGAACGATATGAATGAACCATCTGTATTCAATGGTCCTGAAGTTACTATGCCTAAAGATAACTTACACTTTGGAGGATGGGAACATAGAGAAGTCCATAATATATGGGGCCTTGTTCATGTAAGTTGTTTTATTTATTAAGTTCGATATGTTTATCCCTCTTTGCTTGTTTATCCATATGGATGATCTTTTGTAGAATAATTTGCTAAATATTTGGTACAAGAGGATTCATGTGATGAAGCCATTAGCTTGAAAAAAATTGGGTTTAGCCAAATATTGATTTTGAAATTATTTAATTTTTTTCTTTAAATTAATATTCCTTGGTACAGATCCCTTTTTATCGAATTATCAACATCTGCCTGAAACTTCGTAAATAGCTTCATCTCATCGTAACCTACAACTATTTTATTCATGAAAATCCTCAGAATTGGGGCGTCTAACTTTGTCTATTTAATTACGTACTAAAAACTCGTAAGTACACATTTGCTTTCCACTTGAATCGTAAGATAATTTGAGCACAAACTGGAGAAAAAATGTGGCCTTCAAACTGATATGCTTCTGATTATCTCAATTTTTTAAATAAAAAACTGCCTCTAATTACCTTGTTGTTTTTTGCCAAGAAAAATAAAGTAATAATCGAATTTACGAGGGGATACTACAAATATGCAGTCACTAAGTTCAATGAAACTTTTTTTTGTGCTATTGAGTTGTCCGGAAAATAATGCAGGATTTTGGTTAAAAAAGATAAAGACTTACAACTGCTTTCTTTAATAGATAGTCTCCACTACTATCAATACATTTCTGCCAATACGTTGGCAACTTTTTCATTCCCTCGGAATAGAATTTCCCATCTTTAGAATTAATTAAGTCCAAAAAATCATTTTCTAATTCCCTTTGTCCATTTAATTTGTTGTCAAGTAAATAGTGGTCCATCATTATTATTCATTATTGCCACTTTCTGATCATTGCATTAATTTAGTTACAATACGATTCGGCATTGGTGGTTTCTTCAGGATTTAAGAAGGTGTAATGTATCAAACCAAATGAAGCTCACCAAACAGAAACCCTTCTACTGTCCCTCCTTTGTCGAGCCACTTTCCTGAACATCAAATGTTATCGTAAGGTATCCGACGACAGGATGGCCGAGCATGTTGGGGCGTGGGTCCAAGAGTGCCTGGTTCTGAACGTTGTGGGTTTCGATTCTCACCTGTGTCAGTTACTTTTCATTTCTTGGTGGCACTGAGAAGTGGATCGTGATATTCCCACTCTAGTAAGTATGCAGCGGAAACCTCTAGGTAGCCATCAGGGGTTGGCAAAAAGGACACCTAAAAATGCAAAAAGGGCAATTGCTGAGGTTAAGTTTCCCTACAAGTTCTCGAATAGTTGTTCTGGGTCTTTCTTCCACCAAAGCCCGTAGAACATTGTCATCAAGAGAGGGAAGTCTTTCCACAACCTTCTTTGTCTTCAAGGCTGAAGTCTCCCTCCCAACATTTTTGAACCACTGTTGAACAGTGTACTCATTAATGCTGCTCTCGTCCCAGACTTGATTGATGTTTCTGGCCATCTGGGTTCCATCCCAGCCGAGTTTAAACTCATAAAACAAAATTATATGAAAATCATGCGTTGATATCTTAATAAAGACTGAATTTCTAAACAGCGAAATGCTATAGAGGTAAACAAACATTATCCTTTGGAAGAGCATTAATAAGTGTTGACATTCATCCAAATTAATCATTTTGATGTATTAATATTATAAATCAAACAAAATAGATGATTTCTGCATGTTTTCAGATGTAAATTAGACAATTTTACATATTTTGTGTTTTTATTGCATGAATTTGCACCTTTTGAGTTTTTTGCACGGAGATACGGTCTCTAGTTATAATTATAGATGGGCATAATTATAATCAACGATTGCAATTACAGTAATTATGATTAAAGGGTGGCGACTGACCTGGAAAAATAGGAAAAGTCAAGGAAAAATTGTTAACGTTAGAGAATTTTTTCAGTACATACAAATTATTTTCAAGTTCGAAATAAATATACTGTGGATATCATTTATAATAACCTTGAAGGGGTAAACTTCATCATTATAAACAACCTCAGTCGCTGTATTCATCCACCTTCTACTATCAATTACGGCACAGGTCGTTGTATTGAAATTAAACAAGGGTAATAAATAACATTTAAGCTAAATGGACAAAGTGAACACTGAAACAGTGTTTTGTTTTTTTAATAGTAAAACATAGCAATACTATTTACTATTTATAATATATACATCTGGGTCAAGAGAATTCACGGGTTGAATGAATGAAATAAAGGCTTGCCAACCAGATCTTGACCCAGATGAATATATTACAGATGTGATGTTTCTAGTGGCAAAATTTATACCTTTATTCACAGTTCTATATTGCAACACTGCAATCACCTACACTGCAAACAAGTTACTCACTGTCTGTATAGATTTCCTACTAGAAATATCACTAAAATGGTATTACTCAAAAATGTTGAAATTGGAGTTAGTCATTCTGTCAACTGAAAGGCTCAGAGACTGAAATTATGTGGTTTATAAAAGCAAATAGAGAAACTAGATTTTTATTGCCTACCGTCGTTATAATTAATAGACTTGTTAATTTTAATGATTTGTTATCTGTAAGCTTTAAGCTTTAGCTCCGCTTAAAATGCACTTTAAAAATTTTATAATAGCCCAACATTGTCAGAAAATAATTTCTATTCAAAGTAGAGTGGCAAATGAAAGTTGTTGTGTGTTGCGCGCACCAGATTTTTTTTTTATGTTCAAAAGTCTATGTTTCTTAAAAATCAAAATTTTTCAATGATTTTTAAGAACTCACTAAACTGGAGAGGTAATGTTTAATTATATGCCATAATATTTTGGTAATATATACTCTGAAAATCATGGTCATGAATGTTGTATTTATGACATTATAAATAATAACTTTAGCTGATTGAGAAGTTAAAATTTCTTATTTTTTAAAAGATTCTTGTTTTAGGTTAAGTCTACATATGAAGGATTAATGAATCGGAAAGATGTTGAAAAACCAGAAGATATAAAAAGGCCTTTTATTTTAACAAGGTCAGGCTTTGCTGGAAGCCAACGTTATGCTGCCATATGGACTGGTGATAATGCTGCCCAGTGGAGTCATCTCGCTTCTTCTATTCCTATGTTATTATCTTTCGCCATTTCTGGAATGTCATTTTGTGGAGTGGATGTGGGAGGTTTCTTTGAAAACCCTGATCGTGAGATGTTTATGAGGTGGTATCAGGTAAGAATGGAATATGACAAAATATTTAACATTATTTGTTTCTTCTATCATAAAAAAATATTTACTTAAAATATTAGCTAAATGTGTTTTCTTATAGAATATATTTACTTTTTTTTTTTTAATTTTCCTACATTTTGGAGTCCTAATTATCTACATTAACTGGGATTGATTATTTTAAAGATAATGTAATATTGAAGTTGGGAAATGCATGCATTGCTGAACGCATTAAGAATGTACATTCGAATCTTAGAGACAAAAAAAATTGAGTTATTGAGTTTTTGTCTAATTGTGGTTAGTAAGTAGAAATTATAAATGTCTCAAGTTCATTAAACTTTTTAATATTCCTACTCAAATAGTAAACCAGTACAAAGAAATAGTTAGTATTGAAAGGAAACTTTCTCTTATATACAATTATGTTATTTGTATACAATAACATAATAAGTTGATACAATTACATACTTTTTAAAAAAGCAATATTTATTTTCTTAAGTTTTGGAGCCATCATTTCGAAACATAAAACTCTTCATGCTATAGTTGTAGTGCGAATTTACAGCTTCCTTGCATCGCTTCAACATTTCAAGTAAACAGTCATCAAGATTAGTAAAATTGACATGTATTTTCCCTCTTCACTTAGCTGGATTATCCATGTGTTTATGATTCATTCATTCTATTTTTTAAGTTGTCAATAAGCTGTTTGGAAGTATACCGAATCTCTTGCCAATTTTCTTTTTTCTCAATGCTTTTAAATAATACCAGGTGTCTTCTGAAAAATACTCGAATACGCTGTCAATTATAAAACTGATGAGAGAGTGGGAGTGAAGGAGCCCTTTAAAAACCGTTTAAGCTCTGGTCATGTAGGCAAGTGAACTTTTTTATGTGATGGGATTTAAAATTCAACTTTTATGCTCTTTTCCATGACTCCTTTAAACACAGAAAATGTATCTAATTGAGGTTTTTATTTTGAAATATTCTACTTAGGTAACAAACTAGTCAATCACTATAGGGAAATGAAGTGGTGCATAGCACTCTGTAACAAGAGGCACACTTGTTGCAGTGCCAACATCATCAATATACCCCTCAAAAATTGGTAAATTTAGAGTCTTAAGTCGCACAAAAGCTAAGTAAAGTGACTGCATAAGAAAAAAGAAGTTGGCAGCAGGTGGGTGTACTTGAAATGAATGCTATCATCAAAAGGGGCTCTATGAAACGGGGTATGATTGGCTTCTGTCAACAAAGAAGAAAGCCAACATATCTGCTTGTTTTGGTTGTTATTTCACAATTCCACATCTGTATGATCAAGTTATTGCTTTTAAACCTATTAAAGATATATAGTATGTAGGCATGACTGAATTTTTATGTTTTTAATTTACTTATCTTTAGGTTACTTTATTTTTTATTGTATATAGTTGTTTGATTATTATTTAGTTATTTTACTTTATGTTTTCTGTATATATGGTGTAAATGTGTTCATATCTCACTATAATTATTTTCTACATGACAGATTATTATATTTCTAAATAAATAAAAAAATTAAAGATACATTTCTTTGTTGTGTAGGCAGCTATTTTCACGCCGTTTTTGAGAGCTCATTCACATATTTTCACAAGAAGGAGGGAACCCTGGTTGTTCGATGATGAAGTAACAGCTAGTGTTCGAGAATCATTACGCCTTCGCTACTCTTATATTCCCTACTGGTATACTACTTTTTATCAGCACAATAAAACTGGTGCACCTGTAATTAGGCCATTATGGGCTGAATTTCCTGAAGAATTAGATACATTTTCTATAGAAAATGAATATTTAGTTGGTGAGTGATGCCTTTTCATAGTTATGTAGTATATTTAAAATATGAAATTTTAATTACAATAATTTAATGTTGGTTTGTAGGTAACGCATTGTTGACCAGGCCTGTTACAGAAGCAGGAGTTAAGGAGGTGTCAGTTTATTTTCCAGGTGCCAATACTGTGTGGTATGATATTGAAACCTATCAACCGTATAAACATGGTTCTTCAAACATTGCCACTCCTATAACAAAGGTATAGCTAACATTATTAAGCATTGTTCTTTTAATTTATTAATTCAATATTCTATATTTATCATCTGTTTTTATCTCCAGATACCTGCATTCCAAAGAAGTGGAACTGTTATACCAAGAAAAATGAGAGTTAGGAGAGCTATTCCCTTGATGAAAGAAGATCCCATAACACTGATAGTGGCACTTGATAATCAGGTATGTTATGGAAAAGTCTATTTATAATTGGAGATTTTGATATTATTGGATGTTTTTCCACTACGTATTAGTTAAATAAAAAAAAAACAGTAAGAGATTAATTTTAAATTATTTTTTGGTGAGATTGAAAGGCTTCATGTTAAAAGTAACAACTATTTACCTTAACAACACAGAGAAGTTTATATTAGGCATAATTATTATTCACATCACCTCTGTTAGCTGAATAGTTTTGTGAGTTCTCAGTATGAAACCTGCCCATCATCATTACAGGTATTCGTGTAACTTTTAATATATTGTCGGGTCTCTTCTTGAAATCGGAAGATTGTGCACTCATTGTAACTATATATGATAAATAAGAGTGTTCGTCATTTTCATGCAATGACAGTGTTTTGGTCTAAGTAGATAAGGTTGAATCTCTCAAAAACAAATTCGAAATTTTATATTACACTTATATAAAAAATGCACTTAGTCACTTTTTGCAATAAACTCAAAACATGATTAATGTGTTATTGTGCTTACAATTAAGCATGAAATTAAGTGAATGACCTCTGTCTGCTAATTGTGAATTCTTATGATTATTTAATTGACTTAAAAAATAACATTATTTACCCTGATTGAGTAATTTTGATTGCTCAAGTAAAAGAAAATTACTCACCTGGAACTTTGTCAGATTTCCCTAAAATATTTATTGGGTATTTTAATTCTGTTTTGTTTCAATTGAGTTTACTTTTTTTTTTTTCCATTCCACCATTTCTAAACTGTGGAACTTCAATCAGAGTTGTAAATATAAATAGAAAACCTCATAGTAACCTTATCCACAAACAGGATAAGTTTTTAAAGATCCAAAAAAATGAGGTAAAGTTATGTGTACTTGTGGCCTTAACTTAAAATATGTCTGTTGTTGATTATTGAGTGGTTGAATACTTAAATGGTTCTTTGTGAACATCAGTCATCCAGTTGGGCACCAGTTTCTCACGAGTCCCTGAAATACTTACAGGCTCGTGTGGCTAAATGATTAACATGTAAATTTCTCCATTATTATAATTATTTATCACCTAAGATAAGAAGAATAGTTAACCAACTGCCATCAACAATTCATTTGAAATAATCATTTTTTTCCCACTATAAATTATTTAATCCTTTCTATTCAATAAAATAATTTAGTTCTTTAAAAAAAACAGAAACATGAAACTGGGCTCATTTGTTGCAAAAATGATGATTGTAATGATCTGGTCTGTTGATGTTGATCTTAATTTATCTTGTGTATTGATTTTTGGTTTACTTGGTTAACACATTATTTGACTATTTATCTTTTGTTTCTTAAAAGTAATGTTCAGTATATTTATGATTTTATGGAATAAAACTAATATTACTTTTTATAACTTGTATTTTAGGGTAAAGCTAATGGTTATTTATATGTAGATGATGGAACAACCTTTAGACATGTTTACAGAAAGGATGGCTCCAGTTATATTCATTATGAGTTTTCTGATAACAAATTCTCATCGAAGTAAGTTGTATTTGATGTGCATACATTCAGACTAATTTTTAAGTGAAGGGAGAAGGAGTGATTGAAATACAGTTTTTATAATAAAAGATTAAGCTCAATAAATACATTCAACTTTATTAACTGGATCCATACATGCATACTTAATTAAAAACATTGGATTTATGTGAATAGAAAGGTTTTATTTTATTTTTAGGATTCAGTTTTTTTTTTGTGTATTTGTTTCGATTTATAGAGGCTCTTCCTCACTACATCTCCATAAGATAACTCTTCATTACAAAATAATCACAACGATATTTGTGTGTCTGTGCCTATCATCTCAGGAAATTCCTAAAAAATAGCCTAGACAGGCAGGTGGTCTTTCGTTAAAAAGCTTTTTCTTGCTTTCTTAATTCCTTTTTCCTTTCCTGAGCAAATTTTTCATCTATTATTCCTTCCTTATTTTTGTGAATCTGATTACTAGGTTGGACTGCATTGTATTTTAAATATTGTCAGGAGAGAGGTTTTTATAATAGAGTACATTTATCTCTTGAGAAACAGTATGCTATATTTATAAGTGCATGAAACTTATACAATGTTATGAATTTTTTGACATTATTATGGAAGTTAGTTAATTGGAATATAAATTACAATGTTATTTTAGTAAAAGTCAATTCATTTTAAATTTGTATGTTCTATTCAATAAATGTTCTTATTTAACTTCAGACTTAAATAGTTATACTTTTTCAAAATCAATTTCCTTTGTGTTTTATAGGATGCATTGCGGCTTTTTGTAATTAATTAATTTATTTTTTCTTTTCAGCTTGATTGGTGATAATCGCTACTCTACTCAATCTTGGATTGAAAGAATTGTCATTCTAGGTTTGAAACCAGGATCTTATAAGGCTTTAGGGTCTGTTGGTATGTAACTAGGCTATTCAAGTTCAAGTCTCATTATTCTCACAAATTTATTTTGTTAGATCTTTATTCTAATATACTATTATCATAAACTCATATAGGGGATTACGGTTTCAATTCATGGATTTATGTGTGGTGAACATAAGGCTGTTGTTTGTTATTTTACAGTTATAGAATAGATCATTGTGAAATGTTATTGTCTTGTGTAGATGAATCCAAATAAATAATATACACATTATAAAAATAGCTTAAAGGATAAGAATTATAAAAATAACTAGGACAGCAACATAAACAAAAATTGTGGGTTGATGGTTAACTGTCGTGAATAATGAAGAGGGATGATCAGTCAGAAATAAAAAGGCAAAAATAAATAATAATATTTATTTTAACATTTGCCAACGTTTCGACCTGAAGTTCAGGCCTTCATCAGGGCTGTTCGAAGAGATAGTTCGAATTGAGTGGAGAAATGGTAGCAAGGGAGGGCAATAATTCAATAAACAAAAATTACTGGAATATAACCATTTTTTTTTTATTCCTGGAGATATTCATGAACAGTTCTTTCAGCAAATCTTATTAAGCTTTAACTTTATGCGACATAGGCTTTCAGCATTTTTTAGAAGCTTATACCAATCTATGGAAAATATTTGTCATATTCCTTGGATATGCTTGTCATTTTCAATTTAGGAATCATTTCTAACTGGAAAACTAATCTTGATAGTAGTAAGTCACTGACAGCAGTACACAACTTCGGCATTTTGAAGTTTTTGTTCTGATATCTACTAGAGCCACTAAACATTTCCTGAATCTTTATTCACTCATTCAAAACATATAAAATTAAAATAATCAAGGAATAGAATGACTTCATTAAATCCTTGGTGTTGACTTCATTAAAAAGTGGTCTACTGTTGTGGTTTGATCATTAATTTCATGTAGCAGTGTCACTTCTATTAAATGATGGCCAAACATACTCCTAAATGGAATGTCCTATCCACTGAAGTTAGTGCCATTTTCTGCCACAAATTGAAACTTCAATAATTCTTTATTTTCAAGGAATGGCAATCCTCCTGTTTTCCTCCTCAAGTCTCAAGCACACAAAACGAAAGCTGCAGTCTCTTTGTATGTATGGCTCGCTGCTATAGATTGCATTATGTGTTAATATGATCATGCAACAGATAGTAAAACGACTAGATGATCAGCCCACCACCGAAGAAAGAGATAGCAGTTCTCTGTGATAGATCATATTCTGTTATTCAGAGCCTTTACAGCTTTTTATTTCTACCTTACTGATATTTTTCAAAGCTATATGTAATATTAATAGAACTGTTTGTTTTTTGTTGCTTGTTTAAAATCCTGTAGAACTGTATTGTTTCTATTCATTTATTATAATCCCTTAATAATTCAATTTTGGAGAAAAAAAAAATGTCTTCAATTCAATTGTTTTTCACCCATGTTCTGCATTTGGTCAGGATTTAAACCCTGAAGTTAGTTCCCAATAGGCTTCCAAGTTTTTATGCTGTCTTGGTTTTATAAAGTGTTTTTTTTATCAGAGATAATTGTTTAATCAGGCTAAATGTATCAGAATATTTACTTGTGTATTTGATTGCAGGTAATCAAGAAAAGTCTTTAGAGACTGTTTATGATGACTCCAAGAAAGCACTTACAATCAGGAAACCAGGTTTCAATGTTGCCAAGCAATGGTCTATCAAGTTGGTGTAGAGCAACTCTTTCAAATTATTTTTAATGAAATATGTGTTTATGTGCTGGGTTTCAGTGATTGTGACAAAAAAAAAAGTGAATGTGTTGGAAAAAAAAAAAAATGAAAATTCATCACATGAATTTATCTGGGTTAAGTTGTTGAACTTCATTTGTTAAATACTTGGTGTGAGTGATTTAATAAACTTATGTTTCCTATTTATTTAGAATAAGAATATTTTATATCACATCTGTTTGTAAATATTTGAACAGAAACAAATCCACAGTTGTTATTCATGCTCGTGTTAACACTATTGGAAAGTTTTCCGAGACAAGATGATCATTTTCAAACACGACCACAACATTTATCTCAAATTCTAAAACAAAGTAATATAAGATATTAAGTTTTGATGAATTTCTTTTTACATCTTTCTTGATATTGAAAAATTGTATATTATACTTACCTACTTTGAAGTTTGTTGTGATTAGAGTAGGACAAGTGAACAGTCTTGGGAAAATCATGTATATTGGAATGTATAAATTTGTGGCAACATTACCTTCACCAATCTGAATGCTCTGTATTTCTGTAACTGAATAGAAATATTATGATATTAATTTTATTCATTTCACTGGTATTCTTAAGTTCCTTTTGGAATTATAACTTATCTAAGATTTTGTACGTACAATACTATCAATGTGATCTCCACAAGCTGATCACAATTGTAAAGTTATTTATACAATGTCTTTAAGTTTTACTATTAATTGACATTCCATTAGCCATGTAGTTTTGATTTAATAAAAAACAAACACATAAAGAAATATTATGTACAGAGTTCATTAAGTCAAAAGTGGACTTACTGCATCATTGGATTTGAAGCAGAACTACAGCATTTATTTGTAAACATTAAATAAAATTCTCTAGAAAATATAAATGTTTTTTCTTACCATCCTTTGCATATCCTTCAGCACACCCACAGGTTTCTACCCTTACTAATTGCAACTCAATAGATTTTATTGGGATTTCGGTGTGTTCAATCTTAATCTGAAATAAATTAAACATTGGATTTTTAGGATGTTCTTAATCTCTTTTTGTCCCCTAACTTTTTAAATTTTATTTTTAATGAGTCCCTAGCTAAACTAGACAATTATATTAAAAGCCTGTTTATATCAGCTATCTACACATCTTCCTGAATGGTTTTATAAATACTTTAATTTGTTAATAAGGTAAGCCAGGTTTATCTTCATAATATTTACTTAAGAAAATTACTTCTTTATAGCTTTTAAAAAGTATTAGGTTTGTTAAAAAATAAAAATAAAAATTAGCACATTCATATTACAATAATCATGATATATAAGCTCTTCCTTTCATACCATCCTCTTTAAATTGGGCTTCATGTGTATGCAGTTTCTCTATTGTCATAACCAGCTCTTCATTATTGGAAATGATAGAGAAGTGAGATTCCGTCTTATACTAGACTTGGAGAAATGCAGCGATTCAGCAAGAAGCTTTTTTTGGTGGTTTTCTATAACGATTGCTGGCAAAATTTATAACTTGTTATATTCAAGCTTCCCCATTACACTCTCATGTAATAAAACTTCCATAGTTCATGCCGTTTTAATTAATTATTGGAGCACGCAGTTTAAAAATTAACTTTGAGCAAAACAGAAGTAGGTTTCCACAGGATAAGTACAGCGGCACTTTAATACAAAACTGTACCACTACAATCCATGAAGGATCTTGGGTTCAGTACTATTTAGGGTAAGTACTGTTACGAGGCCAACAGTTGTGCAGGAAGGAGATGGGGCCAGGATCACGCTCAACCTCCAGGTTTTCCTCCTTAATCAATCATTTAATTAAGGGTACCCACTTTGTAGAGGCTGGGTGTGCCACAGGAGGGTCTCCCTGCCCCAGGGTCACCCCACGGCCAATGAAACAGAAAAAATAATTTTTCTGCCATTAGCCGGGATTTGAATCTTTGGAAGCTTAGTGACCTACCACTGAGCTACCCCGCTCCCATCTAATACAAAAATTTATCAATTCTCCCTCAATGTCATGCTTCCTCCAGAATTTAAGTTATTCGGTGTAGTTCTTGTATTTATGATTAATATTATAACTAAAACGATTTTTTGAGTGAATAATAATTTACATATTTATCCTATGTTTGCATCTTCTAGTACATGACCCTTGACATTATTTGATTGAGTTGAGTTAGAAATATCAATAGCCCCAGATTTGTTGAATTTGTACAGAGATTGTATTAATTATAGCTATTACTGAAGATACCATTGGTGACACTAGAAAGAAGTACTAAAACGTATTTCTTTGTTTTACAAGATAATGTAGCTATTGATATTGATAGATATTGAGCTTTACATTTAGCTCTCATTGATAATATAATATCGAACTAATCTAAAAACTAGTTTCTGACTAATGAAGGGATATAATTCAGACAAACCATTCAAGGTAACCAACCAACTGTTAAATACAATTATAGACCGAGAGTTAGTTCTCTACCCAAAAAATAAGCCATCTAATTTCTCAAGATTGGAGAGACCCAGATCATCTTGCTGAATTTCTGGAAAACCAAAGTAGGTAAAACAGCCCAGATTTATTGTTTCTTCAGAGGTGGCGAGACATTTTGAGAAAAAAGCAATTGATAGGTTAAGAATATTAATGCATTATTTTTATATAATTTTTTTTTTCAAAACCAGAAATAATTACCGATAGTGAGTATTGAATTCAGTTGTACTTTGAGTTAGAAGCAGATATTCTGAATATTAAAAAACAAAACAGTTTAACAATGAAATTGTTCACATAGTATACCTGTCCAGTAAATGGTTTAGTTATGCAACAAACAACAGAGTCTATAAAACCACTTATTTTAAATCTTGGTATAGTTCCCAAATCTCTTGGTCCTTCTAGAGATTCAGGCGTTATCACAAAATCTACTTTTTTGGGAACCGCTTTAGTGCAATTAGATGGCTGGAAGAAAAAAACAGCAAATCAATAACAAAATTTCAAATAATTCAGATTTAATTTATAATGCATTAAAAAAATAATTATGTTCAACAAATATATAAATATAAATTTTGTACTTTATATTCAACAATAAATTCTGCCATCTTCATTAGACCTTTTGCTAAGAACCCTCTCTTCAAATCACACTTCAATGTATACTGTATATAAACAAAAACTCCATGGTAAGTTTCATAAATGGTTTTATTTCCTCTAGGAAGTAAAGGAACCTCAAAAGGAATATCTGTTTTTCCTGAAGGTATTTTTCCAGGTCCAGATATTTCTACGACAACATGACAGATTTGCACTGGCTGAAAAAACCAAAAACAAAAGTTAGTATGAGTCATGTAAAATTTAATAATAAGATTGAAAAGTAGAGACCTTGACAGAATTGTAGAAAGCTTCAAAAATTCCGACATTTCTTGGACTTAATTGTAGTTCAACTAGCCCTTCCATTGTTAATGTTATTCCTTCATGTTTAATTTCTCCTGGTGTCTGGATGACAATTGTTCCAGTAATGGAGTCCTAAATAAAAACAATTTCAATTTTTTATTTTATTTCTTTGTCAAAAAAATTTTCATTATCAAAAAATAAACTACAAATTGAAATAAAATGCATAACTTACTAATTTAACTGGTAAAAATAAAATATATTGCTTTTCTTTAATAAATAGTTACATCTCAAAATATCTGCTGTCCAATAAATAATAAATTTTTAAAAAATAGTATTTTTAATTATTACGCCGACGTTTTACCCCACCTTGCAGGTCATCATCAGGGCTACAAAAGATAGAAAATATAAAAGGTATATGGGTAAAATAAAATAAATGAATAATAAGTAGATATTAAATAAGAAACAGTTGTCTGATAAAGAAATAATAAGATGACATCAGAGATATAGTGGGTGAAAGTATAGTTAAAATATCAAGTATTATATGTATAGAAGATACAAACAAAAATGGAAAATAAGCTTCTTTGTATCTTCTCTCTCTCTCTATACATATATATAACACTTGATATTTTAACTACACTGTCACCCACTATATCTCTGATGTCATCTTATTATTTCTTTATCAGACAACTGTTTCTTATTTAATATCTACTTATAATTCATTTATTTTATTTTCACCATGTACCTTTTATATTTTGTATCTTTTGTAGCTCTGATGATGACCAGCAAGGTGGGTCGAAACGTCGGCGTAATAATTAAAAATACTATTTTTTAAATAAAGTTTAATGGTTAACTAGTAAACTAGTTGATTTCATTATAAAATTGAATAGATGTTCAAAAAATATCTTCATTGTTCAGAAACTTAAATTTCTCTCTTTGTTAAATAAGCACTATGCCTACATTAGAACTGTTAAATGAAATTGGAGTGCTTATTTTTGAAATAAGCCTTATATAGCCTAATATAAGCCTTAATATGGTGCTCTGAGCAGATGGACTATGGATTAGCAATTAAAAAGTAAGCTCATTATCTCTTAATAAGATTTAATCTTACTTATTCCGTATTAAAAAATATTTCCATTACAATTCAGTCATAGCAGATTATTATAGCTTTAAGGTATCTATTTCTTTTTCCACATGTAATCCTTATATAGTTATCAATACAATTGACTATCCATTCATCATCCCAAGCTTGACAATCCATTACAGATTTTGGCTACTTCAAGTCAACGTTGCCGTCCACGTTTTGCAATCCTGAGCAGCCGTCCACTAGTTCCTGATTCCAAGGATTCTGCCATCTGCACTTACTCCATCCATCTCAACTTAGGTCTACCTTCTTTTCTTTTTAGACCCAACTCCATGCTGAGCAGTTTCTTTGGAGTTGAGGTCTCGTTCATCTGTACAACTTGACCTGCCCATCTTAGCCTTGCTATTCGGATATATTTCAACACATCCGACTCCTAGTATAAGTTGGCTAACTCTTGGTTACGTCTAACTCTCCATTCATCATTCTCCTTTATTGGGCCAAATATCTTCCGAAGGACCTTCCTTTCGAAAAATAACATTTTGCTCTCAATGGCCTTCACAAATGTCCATGTTTCACACTCGTATGTTAGAACTGGTTTTATGAATCTGTAAAGGAGAAATTGATCGTTGTAGTGAATGGCTTTTCATAAACTTCAGAAGGCCATAATAACATCTATTTGTGGCAACAAGTCTTAGCTTCCCCTCTTGGTTCATGCCATTATCTGTAGCCACTACCAATCACAAATATTGGAACCTTTAAACTTTTATGAAGTTGTGTCTACCAACTTGGATAGTTAGATCAGTTTTATGGCTGTCAATTTATAATGTAGTTGGTTTCTTCCTCATTGACCCCAAGTCTCATCTTCATTGCTGCTGCCTCTAGCGAGCTGTAAGCATCTGTCATAGCTGTCAAGGATCTCTAAATGATACATATATCATCGGAATAAGTTGGTGTTTGAAGTCTTTTTGTAAATAAAGTGCCTGTTGTTTGTAGACCAGCATTTCTCACTACATTTTCTACAGCTAAATTAAAGAGAGTGCATCCAAGAGTATCATTTTGTCTCAAACCTCAATACATGGCAGCTGGTGTCCATCATAGTCACCCTGACCAATCTAATTAGCTTTGGTGGGATTTCAAGTTTTTCCAGTTGATTACCAATTACTTTTAATATATAATTGGTAATTGGTTGACTGGATAATGAAGAGAAGAATAGTTGAGGTGGTCAGTCAAAAAGGAAGGCAAAAATAAATGACAATATTTAAATGTAAATGTAAAAATAAATGTTGTCATTTATTTTTGCCTTCCTTTTTGACTGACCACCCAAACTATTCTTCTCTTCATTACTTTTAATATAGTTGTTGAAAATCAAGTTGTCAAAGTCATGTAATGTCTATGAAAATTTTCAAACAGTAACAGCTTGAAATCAGATTTTAAGTTATGATATTGACAAAGGTGTGTACAAATGACCCTAAATGTCGAATCATAATATAAGATGAAGTATCTGAAGCCTTTAAAGTTTGAACTGGCTTGTGGCAGAGAAATGGACTCATGTTGATGTTGTTCAACTTGCTAGTGCAGGAGGAGATAAAAGAATATCAAAATGAAACATAGAATCTTTAGATATACAGGTGATTAGTTGTCTTTGGAAGCAATCAATAAAACACTTAGATACTTACTAAGACTCTGATTGAGGGAAACAAAGCAAATCTGTCTACAAGTAAATGAACATAAAACAAAATATATGACAAGCCCAAAATTCTACACCATCAATAGGAACTGCATAGAAGCGAAATTGTTCCTGAAAGTAGACAAATTCAAATACTTCAGATCTAAAATGAACTCAATGGTCAGAAATAGACCAGTGTTTAACAAGCCCAGACAGAGCCTTCTTCTCTCTTTCAAAGATATTTAAGTCATGAAAAAAATCTCTAGAAATTTTAAATTAAGGAAGAACTATGCAATGTTAAAGCCAGTTCTAATATATGGCTGTGAGTAATGAGCACCTAGTGAGAAGTATTGAAAAATTTGAGTGATAAATCCTCTACACTATAAATGGAGTGATTTGTGATGAATGAAAGTGACGCATGGAGGAGAAATATCAATACAGAACTGCTTACAGAAACTGGCCAATTAATATCTTATGGTACAAATTCAAGGAGTTAACATGGATGGAGCATGTAGCTCAGAGCGACCCATCAGGAAGCCTGCACACAAAAATGAATGCCTCACTAATAACCAAGAGACCACTTGGAAGGCCAAAAACTAGATAGATAGACCAAATCAATAAAGTTACTGTATAACTAACTGCATGCAGATAACTGGAAAGAAATATCCCAAGGTAGGGAGATTTGATGAAGGGTGGTAAATAGCCAAAGATCTATAAGGCATGTAAAGCAAGCAAGAAAAAAAAAATGTAGAAGTTAAGATAAATATTTTTAAATTGATTAGGTGAATATATAGTATTCTATGTTTGCCCATACAACCTGTGCAATTTTTTAAATAAAACATTAAGTAGATACTTTGATGCATGAAATGATGCTAATACGAATTACACATGATGGCAAATTCTTTCTGTTTCTATTCTGGCATAGATGCATAGTGGCCTAATTGAAACCTATTGTGTGCTGTCCCATACTTTGTTAGAACAGGCCAATAGGCTTGATGAATTTGAAAATTGTTATTTGACGCCAACTGCTTTGATAGGTTTGGAGTCTTTTGGACACTGAGTTACTTTTTAAGTAACAATTGATTTTTATTCAGAATTATAATTCATTTTGTGTCACAAAAAAAACATCTATTTTACTTAATAAATTAGGTTTATATTTATTGCTGCTTCCAAACCTTGTTTTGAGAAAAATAGATCCCTTTAATAGATTATTTATCATTTGTTTTAATAAAAATTGTGGATGATAGTACTTTGATCCAAGTCTTTAGGTTTGAAATCGATCAACAAAAACAGTTGCACCCACCACTCATGTGTTAATTTACAGAATTAATTTTTAAAGCTACTAGCATCAGCATTATTAAAAGCTATAAACAATACTATAAATAGAATCAAAACCAATTATTTCGAGATCCCTAAATTTTCGCTGTCAGCATAAACTTACATCAATGAAATAAACAAAGGCTATCATATAAAAAAAAAATATGTGGTGCATTTTTAAATATGGTAGATAACGATTCTAAGTCTATGTAAGGTTTCAGGCAAAATTATTGGATCTTTGACTAAAAAACATTTCTTTCAATTATTGCGTAAAGACAAGCAGTTGAAGATCTTTTCTACTCTGAGGTGGAAAAAAACTAATTAAACCATTCATAATGACTTTATTGAATAGAAAAACAAAATGAAACATTCTATGTATAACAATCATCTACAAAAACAATTATTGTAACTATTAGTTAACTGATGTTTTCATAGCTTTGAGCCTTTCTCTAATGGAAATATAATATTTCATTTTTTGAAGTTCTGTTTTAGCTACTTCATAATCATTTTTTGAAAATGCCTTAGAAACTGCTTCAGTCAAATTCTTTATTTCCTTTTCATTTCCTTCCTCAAATCGCTCAAGATCAGATTTTGTCTTAATTTCTACAAGTTCTTCATTCAATATCATGATTCCATTGAGAAATTTAGGGTCCAATGGAAATGAATTTTCTTCTAGGAAAATATTATGCATTTGCAAAACATATTTCCCACGCTCATAGGGATTAACAAGAGTTGCATAAGCCTTGTTAATAGTGGATGCTATATCTGCAGAAATGGCTTTCTCATTTGCACTGCTATTTGAAAATTTATCAGGATGAAATTCACTTTGTAATTGCAGGTACTTCTTCTTCAGTACATTGTTGTCTAAATCAAATTTAATGTTTTGTTCTAAGATTTGAAAAAAATTTACCGTTTTATTGACTGACTGCAGAGCTTTACAATGAGGACACTTAAATGAAAATGTTTGAAGTTCTTTCATGCAGTTTCCACAATTGAAATGCTGAGTCACTGAGCAGAACATTCTTGTAAATTTTTTCCTTTGAATTAAACAATTATGTAGGGGTTTAATTTTGTTTATTTCCCTTGAATTGAACATATTACTCAAACTGTAATGCTTATTTAAAGAGTAAAAACACCTTATAGACAACATCACTTTTGATGCCATTGAACTAAAATTAGATAATGAATGTTAAAAGACAATTATTAATAAATGAAAAGATTTTGACTGAAACAATTCATTAACAAATTAATTTATAAAACACTTTTATTTTATAACTTACACCTTCATGATATATTTTATTCGCTTTTTTAACACGAATATCAATGCTAGTGCTCATAATAAAGAATAAAATCACTTTTAATAAAATAACTTTGTTATTATTATGTCAGTTACTTTCAATCCTGATCACTGTTAGGTTTGCTTATGATTTTTACATTCACTATTTTATTATTGCTAGTGAAAACATTGCTAAACAATACAAAACATAACTATAAAACATAAGAAAAAAATAAGATCTTGAATTGACTTTGAATGTCATAACCTTCCACGTTATCACATGTTATAAACTCTACAGAACCTCATCGTCCACTCTTTTGGAGCGGTCATACACTACAAAATTTTTTCATAGTTTAAATTTGTATTTTTTTCAAATTTTTTATTTGCAATGACTTAAGTACAACATAAAGCTTTATAGTTTCACCCAACGCAGAGTAGAACTGCCCACAAAATATTTGTATGATATCTATACACATAAATGGCTTTTTCTGATATTTTCAGAACAGTTTTATTTGGCATTCCTGTGGGCATCACAATTATAGATGTATTTGGATATGTTGCTCGCGTTGATGGTGTATCTATGCAACCTGCACTGAATCCAGAAAGTAATACTGACTACGTTTTCTTAAATAAACTTTCAGTGAGATTGTATCAGGTTTCAAGAGGAGATGTTGTTGCCTTATTTTCACCTAAAGATCCAGAACAGAAGCTGATTAAACGTATCATTGGTTTGGAAGGAGATGTCATAAAAACTCTCAACTACAAAGCTCCTACAGTTACAGTACCTGCTGGACATTGTTGGGTGGAAGGTGATAATGCTAATAACTCAATGGATTCTAATTTGTTTGGCCCAATCGCATTAGCTTTGATCACTGCAAAAGCTACAGCAATTGTGTGGCCCCCTAAAAGGTGGCAAAGTGTGAAATCAGATATTCCAAAAGATCGGAAACTTTCTCTTCAAATAGAATACTGATAACGGTGGTACAGTTAAATACATACATGTGATAATGAGGTCAGTTTGTTTTGTTGATAAGATAGAATTAGACTTTTCAGGCAATATACTCGCCGATGCCATTGCACTAGGTGATATAGATAATGATGGAGAAAATGAACTTGTAGTTGGAACAATCAATGGTGAATTGTCAATCTTCAAAGGTGAAAAATTATGGCAAACCATATCTGGTTTAGGTATGATATCAAGTGTAGGAGTTGGTGATATAATGAATTGTGGGAGCAATGCCGTTGTTGCTATTAGTGGGGAAGGATGGTGTCATTTTTATATGTGTATTAATCAAAACAAACCTAATATTTGTGAAAAACTTCAACTAGTTTATCAAAGGAGGATCCCTACGAATGCAAAGGTATTATGATAATTTAATTTAAGTTTTAATAATCTGGTGATTTGTGGAAATTGTATTTAATTTATTTAATGTTAAGGTATGGAACTTTGTCTATAGCTAAATATAAAGTAAAATATGAACAAAATAATGTTAGTAGAAATAATATATTTTTCGGTACATCTTTTTTCTTATGAGACTTAATCCCCAGACAAGTTACAGTCCGAGAGACTGTGAGAAAAAATCTGCATTATTTGATGAAAACTTTAAAAGCATTTTTTTGAACATTTATAATTTTTTTTTCTGTTGCCATTGCAGACCATGTAGATGTTTTGCCGCCTTAACAAGCCTACTCCATCTCTGCCTGTCTTGGGCTATATCTTTTCAATTTATATTGAAAAAATGAGTCTGCCAGTCGAATCTCGCTACCTAAAATGACAGCTGATTTAAAATGCAGGATATCAATTAAATTTTTTTTTTACACAACTTGATGTGATGAATCTCAGAGGCGTCCAAAAGGGGGTTTCATAGTGCAAGTTGCACCTTCAAAATTTTTGAGGGGCCCATATTTTGACGGGTTTTTGAATTTTTGAGGGAGGCAAACTTAGAAGGGGTTATGAATTTTGGGAAAGAAAAGTTTTAGACTAAGGAACAAGAGGAAAACATGGAACTGACTGGTGCAAGTGTAATTGTATATGATCTGCGATTTTTCTTATTCTACCTTCACTTGCTCTGTTTTTGAGAAAAGGTGAGTAATAAAATATCTTAGAAGGGGGGGGGGAGAGTAAGTTATGCGGCATCGGCCTTGGGAGGGGAGGGGGAATGGGCACCCCTGGTGAATCTGATCTTATTTTGTAATAAAGCTCATCATAATTAATATGGACTTAAAGCTTATTAAACAAGCAAGTTTTTAAAAGTGGTCTATATGTAACACAAACTTACAGTGTGGTAAAAACAAAACCGTGAATAATTCGGGATTTTCTTTAAAAATAGAACTCAGCTTAGTTTTCCCCCTCAAAAGTCGCTTTAAATGGTTTTAAGAATGACAAATTCTACTTGCATTTGAAGTAAATTTTGTCTCGTGCAATGTAAAACAATGGTTAATTACTTAAATCGAATATTTTTTTATTTATAACTTTCTTCATTAAAAAACGAGACATTTAAAAAAATAAATCTTAAATTTCCTACTTTTCTGCAGGAAATTGGGCTATGGTTATAAAAACTTTTTTGTAGCTCTTGAGATCTACTATCAGTACATTAAAATATTCTCTCTACTTAAGGGACACCCTGTTTACTGGTTAAGTTTGATTGGGACCTAAACTTAAATGGTGTTTGTTTACAATGAATGAATTCTCAAATACCAAAATGAATATATTAGGCAATTAATTTTATCATGTATCAATATTTCACCATAGATTTCTTTATATTTTTCAGGACTATAAAAGTAAAATGCAAGTGATAAAAGGGGGAAAAAAATGTATAAGGTATAAGAAAAGTTACAAAAAGGTAATTCATTAGCATGTAGAAATTTACAAAACTGAGTAATGTTGAAATCATAAGTATTATTGGTTAGAGTGTTGTGTCTATCAATTTATCTCAACATGATAACCATATTATTATTTGTTATTATTATCACATGTCTATCGATGGTTCAATGACTAATTAATAATTTCTTAATTGATTCATGAAGAGATATTTAATTGAAAAATAAAAAAGAAGAAAAGCATATTTCGATTTCATTGATAAATTTACAAATAATAATAACTGTATTCAACATAACTTATGGTGAGAGATTTTTATATATGAACAACAAAAGAAATTTTGCATTGTATAAAACAAAATAGACCGTGTTAATAAGATATTTACTGAATTACATATTTAAGAGGTACAATAGACGAGAAATAAAATTAAGTGAAATATAAAAAAGGAACTTATCATAGTTAAGCAGTGAGACCAGGTCATGAAGAAAGTAGGATGTATTTTGTAGCTTTATTCCAAAAAGTCGCTAGGCAAATGCATCAAATGCTAATATGCTTAAGGAAATTTCTTTGACTTTTTACGTGTAAAAACATAAATCAAAATTGTATTGTATTTTTCTGGTGTTCATCTTATAGAACTATTCCTCGCCTTACCCAGACACATTTCAAATCCATGAAACACCCATCAATATAAAAAAATTGTAAATTTAAAGAATAGTTTGGTTGCACCAGTAGCTGACTCTGTTTGATTTTGAATGTTCTCAAGGGATGAGAACAAGGATGTAATTATGGGAAATAAATTTTATATTCCTCATTTTAGAATATATATTAACAAAAATTATCTTTAACTTAATTTTGTTTCTCGACTTAAATGTATCGAAAAGTTTAGCCACTGTCAAGAAGCTGTTTTTGGCAAAAGGAAACCTATTTGTGCTTTACATTTAATCCAAATCACTAGCAATTTATTTTTAGTGAGAAAGTAATGAATAGTCTCATTTATGACCCTTTATAGATTGATAGATAGAAAATGCAGTATTTATTCTATTGTATTCTATATAGTATTTATATTATGTATATCTCTTGATAGTAAAGGCCTGTCAGCTTCTGGTTATGTTAAGTGGTCTAGTTAAGTTAAAAAAGGATAAATCATAATCTAAAAATACTTGAAGAAAAAAAAAATTGGGATATATCAAAATAGTTAAAAAGAATAAGGCAAACATAAGGTATGGTGCCCTTACTAAAAAGAAAAAGCCAAACATAAGGTATGGTGCCCTTACTAATAGATGATTGTTCCTGGAACACTACGTGGACCGTGAGGGACTTTCCTAATTTGCTGCCTATTATTTCGGTTATGGTTTCTGGTATGACTAAAGCACAGTGGAAAAATATAAAAGGAGAAAATACAGAAACCAAAAATTTATGAAACAGGGATCTAGGAGGTCCTGAAATCTTATTATGCCCATTTTTCGAGGAGGATTTCAGGTATTGATACACTGTCAGCTACTGTTGCTTTTACCTTAGGTATATTTTTGGAATTTTGATCTTATTTTTTTATACAAAAGATCTGTGAAGTGCATCAAAAAGATTCAAACCTTTTGTATATCAAACAGTTAACTATGCTCGCAGTGTTCTGATCTCATAAAGAAAATTCATCATAGTACTTTATGATTTAATTTTCTGAAATATTACTTAATGGATGTTTGCAAAAACCAGAAAATTTCTTCTCTCTAAAATTATTTCCTCTTAGAAAATAATTTAAATATTTAAGTTTTATTTATATTTGTGATATAACTGTTTTATTTTATTACATTTTTCTATTTATAAATATTTCTTATTGTAAAAATATTGTCTCCTATGTATGCTTTATCTTTTTATTTATCGAGTTGTATGCATTTGTTATTATTATTGTATAGTATATTTGTCATTATCGTCAGATTTGTCTAATTAAGGTTCCCAAAACTGGAGATTTTCATGAAGTACAACTTGCTATAGGATGTTTGATTTACATGATTATTTATTCCTCAACAAAATAAATCTGGTGCGCGCATCACACGACTTTCACTTACCACACTCTTACAATCTGTACCAAGGTACAATCTGTAGGGTTTCCCGCTAGGTTGAAAAGAAAAACATTTGTGAAGCAGAAGATGATAACCGATGGAATTAATGTGAAGGTTGCTTTGGTACCTTGATTAAAGAGTACTAAACTTTTTCTTTAATATTATAACCTGTACCCAACAAGCCATAAAGGGTCTTGGGTCCAGTACAATGCGAGGAAGTACTGTTACAAGGCTAACGGTTGTGCAGGGACGTGACGGGCCAATATCACGCTCAACCACCAGGTTTTCCCCCTTAATTAGTTATTTGATTAAGAGTACCCACTTTATAGAGGCTGGGTTTGCCCCAGGAGGGTCTCTAGGTCCCAGGATAAACTCATGGCTGATGAAAAATTACTAGTCATCAGCTGGATTTGAACCTGGGACCTTGAACTCTGGAAGTCAGTGCTTACCCACTGAGCTACCCCGCTATCTTAATATTATAATGATAATAAATTTATTTTGTACTGAAATTAATCCTAATTTTTTTTTTCAAGGTTATGGTTTTGGGTGATATTCAAGGTGATGGTCAGACAGACTTGATTGTAGGATTAACTGATAGGGTGGTGAGGATATATCGGTGGCTTCAGACCCGGGAAGTTGCTAGTCTAGTTTGCCTCAATAAGTGTGAGTGTGCAAGCCAGGTATGTTCATCATCCCAAGATATATATGAGAGCTATATGTTACCAATTTATTTACAGTGTGCATCAATGATGCTATTGCTCCACCTTTTGCCAGGGTTCTCGTATGTTATGGATCAATCCATTTGAAATCACACAGACCATTGTTTCTCAACATTTTTGATTGTTATAATTTTTTCACCAGTTATTCCCTATTTAATGGTGAGTTCAAAACTGATTAAAAAAATTATGAGGCACACACTTTTTTCCTGTACGGCCATTTTGTTTTTCGACTGGAAACAATTTTTTGGGAAAATGCCGTTAATTCTGGTAATTTTGTAGATATCAAGCCAAATAAAATAAAAATGTTGATTTTTCTTACATTTTTTGTCTTATATATTACCTAATACAGCTGTTACGATTGAATAGTGCAGTTGCTAAAAAATTTCTAATAAATTTTATAAATTATTGAATTCTGGTATTTGTAATTTGTCTTATAGTGAAAATGTGTTCTCTTTAAAGGTATAATCGTTTTGTATAGTTTTTTAAGTGAAAACAGACATTTTACTTATGAGTGCATGCCAGTCAGCTGGCTCGAGTGGACTGTCGGATCACTCTGTTTTGTCAAAACTGCTGAAGAGAAAAGTAAGATCCAATTCAAATATATCATTGAAAGACGGAACAAATGAGAAAAAGAGAGCAATTAAAACAATTCTGTGATAAAAATTACATAAAAAAATCCTAACCCAAAACAAACATGTTTTAATTTATATAACCTCCCTAACTCCACGAATTCTGAAATGAATAATTTAATTATTGAAAATAACTCTACCACACATATCATTGAATCTACGCTAGAACATGATGTCGACAACACTGAAGTACCAAAAAATGTTATTCAGAGTTCAAGTGCAACAAATATTCCAACAACAATAAATAGTGTCCCTAACGTTCCAGTCATTAATATGTTTGAACCTCTTTGTGCTGAAATGGAAGATGAACCTGACGAAACAACAGTTGTTCATCAACCACCTCCAATTAAAATAAAAGGCATAACTAACTTCCAAACACTATGCACGGATTTAGTAAATTTTTTAGGAGAAAATAATTTTGAATGCTTCTTCTTTTCCTTTCTCCTTTGTGCCTCTCAGCGTGAAGGTGTCTCGACCCAAGCACACCAACTGTTCCTGTCCCCCGCCAGAGTCTTCCCTCTCTCTTTCCCAACCGGGCCATATGATCCATCCATGACATCCTTGAGCCTGCCTCTTGGTTTTTTACCAGTTTGTTTTGCTTCCAGGAACTTGCATGGTTCGCGATCTTCGTTCACCCGCTATACATGACCAAACTACTTCAGTTGCTTCTTCTCTATGGTCTGAACTAAAGGTTTCACCACTAGCTCTTTTCTTATTCTCTCATTTCTAATAAGATCTCTCTGAGTTCGTCTGGCTGCTTTTCTAAGATACTTTATCTCTGCTGCAGTGACTGCTTGAAAAATGCTTGTCGAGAGGAACCCAGCTCTCACTTCCATATAGGAGTGTGGAGAAGTAGATGTAAAATGTATAGTTTCCTCTTTTTCTCGACTTTCTATTTCCCAACAACAGTGTTATATAACTTACATTTTGATGTATATTCAACTGTGTATATATGTATTTTTTTTTTAATTTATAGAATCTTTATTTATTTATTTATATAGTATTGCAGAATCTTATTTATAGAATAGTATTTATAGAGTCTTGTAATTTTAATTTTTATTATGGATTCCTTATTTACCTGAATTTCCTTAGATTGGATCAATATGCATTGGAAAAGATCTTGAAAGAAAACCATGCGTGTTAGTTTCTCAACCTGGAGCAACTTATATGACAATTTCAAACAGGTAATTCTTTACTTTGCTTTATTATAATTAAAAAAAAACAATTTAATTTATCTACTTTTCACACTTAAAAAGCTGAATATTATTGAATTACACTGCATTTTATGAAAATGCCTCCCAAGGCCTGCACAACATCTAGTTCCTTGTTTCCACATTGGATCAGTTCTCATATTACTTCTTATAATATAACAACTATAATTTTAAGAGGTGACAACATAGCAAGCACATATTAACTAAAAAAGTGCGTAATTTGTTGTTATAGTGAGCCTACCAATCTGATCCGGCCCAATGTAGTAACAAGGAACTAGGTGTAGTGTGTGTTTTTTCTTTTCTTTATGACTTTTTTTCCTGAATTTTCTCGGGAATTTAGTCCATATACGAAAATTGAAAGGCAATTATTAGAACATTATAGGAAAGTTTCATCAAAATCGTTAGAGCCATTTTTGCGCTACAGTTTATAGAAAAACATGTCTTTCATTTATTGCGCGCAAGCTATTGCGCAGCTAGCACTGAATTTCTGTCACAGGCATCAGTAGTCAAAACCCTACAAAATAAAAAAAAAGGAACAAAATCGGTTCAGTAGTTCCCGAGAAAATCTTGGCACAGACAGACAGACCAATGGCTAAAAATGTGTTTTTTCGGACTCAGGGGGCTCTGAAACATACAGATCCATCGACAACCGCATATTGGAAATTTGACCCGATAGCAATACTTTTCTTACCTAGTATGGGTAGGAAATTAATAAGTTAAAACATGTGTAAACAATAGAATAAGCTGTATCATCGCTAATACTGGTTCAATTCCGATGATTTTTTTTTTTGTTTTGTTGGTAATTTAATTTCCTTTCAAAAGTGTTATTATAAGTTTTACCTTACTAATATATAATATTGAAGGAGTTAGGCCACATAACATTTTTCTTTTGTTTATAACTTTTTTTCCTGAATTTTCTCGGGAATTTAGTCTATATACGAAAATTGAAAGAAAATTATTAGAACATAATAGGAAAGTTTCATCAAAATCGTTAAAGCCGTCTTCGTTTACACTCAATAGAAAAACTCGTTTTTCATTTATTGCGTGCAAGCTATTGCGCATGGAGCACTGAATTTCTGTCACAGGCATCAGTAGTCAAAACCCTACAAAATAAAAAAAAAGGAACAAAATTGGTTCAGTAGTTCCCGAGAAAATCTTGGCACAGACAGACAGACCAATGACTAAAAATGTGTTTTTCGGACTCAGGAGGCTCTGAAACGCATAGATCCGTCGAAAACCACATATCCGAAATCTGACCCGATTGCAATACTTTCCTTACCTGGTATAGGTAGCAAAGTAAAAAAAAATTCTTATTACTATCTATTGAATATATTAAGAGAAAATATTTTATGAATAAAATGTTATATTTATAATGGAATTTTGAATATAACGGATTTAGTTATATTGTAAATAGTTGTGTTAAATAAATCAATATTGTTTTAGTTTAAGAGTACTATATTTTAAAAATTAAAAATCAGGAAGTTTGGTAGGTTTATTAATTCCAAATAGAATTTTATAGTTCTAATTCATTAATCTAAGGTATTATTTAGACTAATTTAATAATTGATTTATTATAACTTATTTTCTTGATATTGAAACAAAATTAACTGTGCTTATTTAAGTTGTTTTGTTTTTTAAAAGTTAATTATACTCAAAATTACTTATTAAATATGTTTGATCTTAATAATTTAGCCAAGAAGAAAACCCATTGGTTGAGTACCATGAAGTACCTTTGCCTAAACTTACTTGCAGTAGCATTAGCAGTCAGATTGTTGGTTGTGTTGGAAATGACTCAAGTATTGGTGTTGTTGCACTCGATGGCACGGTTTCATACATTAATAAGCAGAAGCTTTTATGGTATGTATCCACCAGGTAGTATTAAAAATTACTTTTAGATATAGTGAAACTCCTCTATTACAAACTATCAAAGGAAAAAGCATGTTTGTACATTCATAGATAAGGTACACAAGTTTATTTGTTACGAGCGCTAATATGTTTTAATTTAAAATAATTAGTTTATTGCAGTAACTTTTTCTTGGGCCAATTTCACTGTTCTTTCTTCAGAATTATTTTTCCCCGAACCTTCTCGATGTCTGTGTATATTTAGTGTATGGTGCTTTTGAGAACCACCTGTCTCTTGAAAGATGTTACTTTATTTACTTATTGTTTGAAATTTTTATTGGGTTACTTTTTTGTTTATAGTCATTCATTATTTTTATCTTTCTGGTTAAATCAGTGTAGTCACTGCTTTTTTTCTCTCTTGTCACTAATTTTTGATTGTTTCCTTTTTCTAAATTTTAGTTGTAAACTTCTAAAAGAAGGGTTCAGTTCTTGTTCTCTCTTCATTACATCATGCAATTTTCCATTTGATGGCCTTATCAAATATAACTGGTGACATTGACCATAAATGGATTCCATTCTATATTTGGTTATCATCAAACTACTTTACTGTTTCCTGTTATTATTGTTTAAAATGCTTAGATTAAATCTCTTTGTATTCATGCATTTCGGTTTCCAATAAAATAAAATGAATTTTGCAGTAGGCATATTTTACATCACTTTTATGGTATATTTCTAGTCAAATAATTATTGTCAATATGATTGATATTTTGAAAAATTGTAACAACAGTCGGTGGATGGCACATTGCAGAGCTGGTCGAGTACGCTTCCACCTGGTGAGACCAAACCTCTTACCCATTGAGGCTTGGCACAATGAGTTGTGAAGAGCCTTATGAGGAGTTTATCTATTTTTGTTGAATCTATATGTTGTATTTTCTTAAATCCAATCCATTTATTATTTGTTTTTAGGACTATAAATGTTGAGCAACAGTTATTTAAAGCTGGTAAAGTTAGTGTCTGTAATGAAGGAGGCGAGCAGATAGTTACCAGTGCTTGGTCCGGCCACACTTTTATCATAGACACTCAGAGTAACATTGTTTGCTTTGAAGTTGGTCAAGCAATACAGAGTTTCATATCAGGAGTTTATGCCAATAACAAATCTACCTCTTTTATATATGTTACTTACAGCAATAAAGTATGGACTTTTGTTTTAGATTTCTGTGAATATTTAGTTTTGTCAATCATATTAATAATGCTGATTCAATTTCAGATTCTTGTCTATTTTAATATTGAAATAGAAAGAATGGTCCTTTATAGCCTGTATGCTTTACAAGCAAATGATCCTGAATTTTCTTCGTATACAAGACAAGAGCTCAAAGAAATGACTGAATATTACCTTTACCATGAAGATAGTGAAGATAAAAAAACTTCCGATGAAGAAGAAACAGTCTGATTTTGGCTATAGCTGTTGTATAATATAGTCTGAAACATTTTTATTGTAACATTTTGCAATTACAGCCATTAAAAAAAGATATTTGTACCTTTTTAAATTCGCCAATATATTATATTATTCCTAATAATTATTTAAATATTTATTATTTATTAGTTTGCATAGGAGTTATTTTTGCAAAAAATGTTTTTCGTTTTGAAGTGATATTTCCTGAAAAAGCTCCATGAACTCCAACATTTGATGAGAATTTTTTCGGGAACAGCTTTTCTATCTGAATATCATGGAACATTCTTATTTCTTGATTTAAATTTTTAGGATCTTTATTGAATTTCTTTTCCAAATTTGATTTATTATTACAGGAGTACTTTTCATTCCAGTTTTTTTGAGTCTCTTTATTAACTTGTTTATTTTTATGGGATTGACTCTTTTTTAGATTATATTCAAATGAAGTCTCAGTTAAATTACTGCTTTTTAAAATCTCTGATGATGGTTTCCAGGGGGTATAATTATTTGTTGGCCCTTTTATCAGTGTTTTGACCGGTGTTCGAAATTGTGAAATACAATTTGGGTCTTTTTTTTTAGAAACTATCACATTGCTCCTTTTGTTATATTTTTCTTTAACAGGGATATAACTGTGTGTTTCTCTGTTTAGTGAGCTATTAATATTTTTTTTAATGTAATTAGCAAACTTTTGTTTATTCATTGCTAATGGAGGAGATGTTGAAATAGCTATCTCTTTATTCTTACGATTTTTTAATTTTCTTTTAGGTTCTTTGTTTGTTGTAGTCTCCATATGTTTTCTATTGCTCATTATTGGATGCTTAAAATTTAACTTGTAGGGATTTGAATATTGATGTTCTAATGGTACTTTTAAATTACTATGACATTTAATGAGCTGTTGTTTTTCAATTAACTTCATATTTACCTCCCTTACTTTTTTTTCTTTTTTGGCAAAGCTTTTGTTAAACAAACAGTTACACACCTCATTTTCCTTATCACTTTTTATCTTTTGATTAAAGAATATCATAGGTTGTGTAATGATTGGCCTTCTATTTAATTTTAGGTTGTCAGAATTTGCATAAATTAAATGATCATTTTGATCATAAGTTTGATTATGTTTGATTCTTATTTTATCATTTTGAAATAAATTGTTTTCCTTTGATTTTATCGTATTTGTATCAATATTCATTGTATTTAAATCATTATTTATAATTGCAGATATTTTTGGTTGCCAAATGTCCGTTGTTATTGTACTATTTGAGTTACGATGTTTAATTTTCAATTTATTTAGTTTGTTTTTTTCTTTTTGGTTGCCTGTTTTTGTTCCAATCTTGATCACATTGTTTATTTCTTTTTCTTTTCTTTTGCTTGATGAATTTTCACTGTTAAAATTTGATACTTCTTCACTAGATTTACTCATAGTTTTGTTAACTGATTGGATTTTTTCATATTTAGTTTCTTTGTTGTTTTTGTCATTTTTTTTATGGACATTTCTGAAAGGTCTTAAAAATGCTTTTTTTATTTCTTTATTATTTCTTGAATTTTTAATAAAATTTGTTCCAACCAATTCATTTTTCTTTACTATTCTTGTTTGAGTTGTATTTTGGCTTACCAAAGGAGAACTGTTGCATTTGGTACCTCTAATACTTCTATTTTTTCCGAGTAGATTCAATGAAGGTAAACTTTTACTTTGACTACCTTCTCCATTTGTCTCATCTTGCCTATGCGATTCATTTGTTTGTATTTCTGTATTCTTATAGTTTACATTAGTTTTACAGTATCTCATTTTTTCTATTGAATCGTAACAACTGCTATTGTAATTACTTATAAGGGTTCCTGAAAATGTAGTTCTGTCACCATTATCAATTATGATATAAGAATTACTGTCAGTAGTAAAAATTTTGTTATGTTTTGAGAGTTTGTGTGTGCTGTCTAACAACTCAATGTCAAAGTTATTAGTTTCATAGTGATTCACATTCTTATTAAAAAAACTTCTGTGATTCTTTGCATTATTTTCCCTCCAATGTTTTCTGTTAAGTTTTCCTTTCGTTATATCACCACTTTGGCTTTCGTCTGTGTAAATGGATGTTGTCGATGAATATTTGTAGTAATAGTAATTTTTATTACCTGACTGTCTTTTATCTTGGTGGTTTAAAAGTATATTTTTTTTAATTTTTGAATTAGATTTATTTCTTCTATCACAGTTGGATGCATGTTTATGAAGAAGATACACTTTGTAGCATGAACGTATTTTTGTTTGTATTCCGACATCTACTGGGCCGGGCAGCAAGGTTTGTTCAGTGAATATTTCTCTGAAATTCGTTTCAATTCCCTGGCTAGTATTGGTGCTTGTTGTAATCCAACTGGTATTATTTTTAGCAGATTGGGATACTGAATTTTCATTGGTGGAATGTATTAAATTGTCATCATTCACTAGAATACTATTGATTCTTTGATTTCCTTTATGATTCACATCGATTCCGTAACAGATTTTAGACTTTTCAGGATTGGTTTCATCATTCAACTGCCCGTATATTTGCAAATCATTAGAACGTGGTCCATGAGTTTCTCTTACTACATATGTGTTTTTGACAGCGTTGTGAAAAGGTTCAGAAACTTTTTTTTGGGCCTCTGTACTCGATTTAGAAAATATAGCTTTAACTTTACTGAAAAAACCTTTTTTTTTCTTCTTTCCATTATTTTTACTAAGTCCGCTGGTTATAGTACTTTCTGTAGACACTGCTGTGCTTAATGGATCGATATTATTACAGTGATTCGAGGTCATAGTATTCTTCATTTTCATTTTCTTTAAAAAATAAAATTATATTGAAACAATATTAGTACATCAAATTATTTAAATATTTTTTAAAATATTTATAATATCCAGTAGTTTAATATCCTTTATTTAGTATTTAGTTTAGTATAAAGCTGAAATAGTTTTAAACTGGATAAAGTAAATATATACCAAAAGGTTTATGGAGTGAAAAAAAAAAAAAAAAAAAATGGAAAGCAGAATGTAGCTAATAAAACTTGTAGTTACTAGTTTGAGGTATAGTATTTTACATAGCACCTGATATTAGGCCATTAAAGGATATTGTTTTGTGAAATTGAATGAGATAACTTAGATATATGCAAAAAATGAATCATAAAATCCTAGAAAGATGATACGAGTGAGGGTTGGTAGTATAAAGTTCAGTAAAAAAAAACCAGTACTTACCAGTACCAGTACAGATGGACTCTGTATTTTAGGCCTAATACATACTCATATATAAAATTGAAACATGTCAAAACAGTGTGCAATTATAGAATACAAAACTCTAACCACTTCAAATTGATTAATATAGCTCTTAAACCTCGCATACATTTCAGTTAAATGACACTTATGGCTCAAGGTTCGATCAAACAGGAGATGGTCTTTTACCGACCGATACACTCTTATGTCTCAGGCTGTGTTTAAGATTAAGATGATAGTTCCTGGTCAACAGAAATCAGTCTATCATAGTGGACCAATCTTTTTCGCAAGGAACTGAAAACCACTTTTAATTTTGTGATAAAGTTCAAATCAACTGGAATGGCTGATAAGATAGAAAATTAATAAATCTTGTGCGAAAGGATGTTTTTTTTATGTTATGTTCATCATTCTGATTATAAATATTTAGTGTAGAAAGCAGAAGCATGAAAATATATATCAACCAAGATATATTATGCCTCACACTGCATAAGTGATAATGAGGATAAGGTTATGATGAAGATATATTATTATACAAATATTATATAGTGTTGAGTTTTATTACAGTATAATTGATGAGACTCGCCGAATTTATCTCTCTCTTTTCATTAATTTCATGCACCCATTTATTTTTTGTCTCACTTAACTCAAACCAAAGAGAAGAATCAAGTCTTCTTTGTTAGAGGAACTGGATTTTTCAAATTGAAAATAGGAGAATAAAAGAAAAATTCAAGAAAGAATTACTTGGAGAAATGCCACATTCCACATTTTTTGTAGCGAGTCCTCCCATCAAGTTCTATGCATTCTATCTCGTTATTTTGGTCCAGAGCAGACTGGGATTATTCTGTCTGCTTGGACAGTCTGCCTCGACTTTAACCAAGCTTCTAAGGCTTGTTGCTGAGTAAAGGGTATATTTAGTCTTGAATTTTACCCAATATGAATGACAGCTTTTACAACACTAAAAAAATGTTTATGATTCTTATATAACCTCAAAGTAAATTAGTGGTATTGATAAGCTAACTCTGTCCAGTTTATTCCAAAATCTATATACAGGTTAGTGTAGCTTTTTCTGGAACTATTAGTACTGGTATTGGTGTGGTGAACTATTCTGGACTGGAAGTTGTGGTCATTTTTGCCAGTCAACACTTAGAGTTTACTGCCACCTATGAACTACACTGGGAATGTCAATGTTAACTGATCCAAGTGGAAATGAAACAACACTTCAGAAAGGGGACTGTGGGACCATTACCCCAATATGCTTGGCCATCTTGCCCTCTAGTCCAGGACTAAGCCTAATCTCTGATCTAGCAACACACTATTAGTTTTAAGCATTATTATTTTGAATGAATGATAGAATGTCTTAGTTATCATAATAAATATTTTGATCATAAAAACTCAAGTGAAAAGTCACATTATCTGAAAGTAAAATTTAAAAAGTAATGTAATGTTAAGTTTTGGGAATGAGCTCCATCATTGTAAAAATCACCTAATTTGGTTTTCAAGATTGTTAATGCCAAAAATGTGTGAAATGCTTCATCTGAATATTTTTTTTGGCTATTACCTTCTATTGATTTCTTAGAATGTTGATTATTTTTTCAAAATTCGGTTCAAGAACACATATTTTTTGTATAAACTCTGAAAAATTAATGAAATATAGAAAAATTAATTCCATATCATTAGGTGGGTTTATTCAAATTCAAATCTGGAATGATGGTAATTTATTGTCATTATTTAGGTTGAATAAATCTCTTTATTTCCCCTTTCTTACAAGAACAAACTGTACAAATAGGTAAGCCAATTCTATTATGCAGAAATGTTTTAAAGATATAAACAAGATAATTTATTTTTTGGTCGCAGTGTGTCTGGTTATCACAAATTCTTGCTGTGTTTTGAATGTATCAATGATGAGTTTGGTTGTT